CAACAGCCCCCGTCACACCCCTAGTGCCTAAAGTTGGTTGAGTGTTAAGTATCATTATGTAATGTCACATTTAAACAAAGGAAATGATCCCAGCCACTCGCTTCCAGAGTGCTTCGAGTGTTTGTGACATTTGTTGACGTGTTAAAAAAGGAAGGGAGTCAAGACCCAAGTCAAAGTCAAAGGAAACTCAAGAAATGACTCGGAGTCAAGTGATTGTTGAAACTATCACACGGCTGGGAATGGATTAGGGAGAAATCCCATTATAAGAACAGATGACAGATAAACCAGACAGAAATACAATGAGTTATTTCCATAAAAGCAGAAGATCATTTGTCAGTCGAAAAGTAGAATCTCCTAATTCATCGCTAATGTAATCAGCGGAGAGGAGGGGAGAAGTGTGGAAACTGACAGTTAAACATTCTTTGAAAAATATGCGCTGATAAATACACTTTAAAGTTTACTGAGTTTTGGTTCAAATATCTTTAAGGTATCTCAATCTAATCTCAATATTTATGTCTTTTATTTTCTCAATATCCAACACAGCTACGTTAGTAGTCTCTCGTATTGGTTGTGGTTTCATGCCACATTTTTGAGTCATCCTTGGCGTTTAATTTCCTTTTATCAGCAAACAACAAGGCGAATATCTAGGATTTCTAGATAAAGTTTTAGAGCAATTCCCATGTGAAAAATTTGATGGAACTCTCCCAACTCTCCCATTTTCGTTAAAGCCTTTTAAGAGACATTTTCTCAGACCACTCACATCCTGATTTACTCTAAAAGGGGATTCGAAGCAATAAAAATAAAATGATTTTGCGCTTCGCTTCATCGCTTAATGGGTAAATGGGTGAATGCGGGAATAGGCATGGGAATGGGCAAGGGAATGTAAGGCGTGGCCGCCCGTGGGGTCTGCCTTCGTGCTGCTTATCTGCCTTGATTAGCAATTAGCACGTGTCCGTGTCCGTGTCCGGGTCTTCTGTGGCCCAACGGGCAGCAACAGCATTGAGTTATTGTGGCAAAGGTCAGGCTATGGCCGAGGCCAATGTCCAGACGGGCGGCGGCCCGTCAGAGCCAACATCCCGCATGGGGAACGTCATGGGGAACCTTGAGATTAATGATGTTGCCTCGAGTGGCGGCTGCGGCGGCTACCCGTAAGCATAAGGATATGGGAAACCCATTTCTTCTACGGTTAGGATTTGGATTGGTTACGCCCCTCTTTTTTTCCTCTCCTTGTGTGCAGTGGCATAAATCAAGAAGATTATCAGGTAGCGATAGTCGCAGCAAAAGGATTTGCATATGCAATTTCGTTGACAGGAGTCTCCTTTTTGTTGTCGTTTGTCGTCCCTTACCCTTATAGACATACGCTACAAATGAGTCTCGTTAGAACGTGTGTCGTGTGTCCTGGCGGCATATCCGCCACGAGGTTGCATCCAATTAGTAGACCATTCAATGGGATGGCAATTGTTGGTCACTTCTAGGGTGTCATGTGAATAACGGATGGACTGAAAGGCATCATTATTCTATATTTTGTTTGTAAAATGATTTAGCTATGCTTTACATTGGAATAGTTCATCTCACATTTCCAGATATCTACACCTTAATTAAGACATTTAACTCCAGTCCTCACTCGGCCATAAATAGTATAACTGTCTCCATCGTCAGCTTCCTATCCCCACAAACATAATTAGGATACACTTCACAATATTTATCGCTCCCTTCAGTACCATGTGCCCTCCCATAACTTGATTCCAAGTTGATCTTCTCCTTGCCCGCAGCTAAATCAAAATCGCACCAAGACTACAAACTTTGCAAGCTAATAAATGGCATGGAAAAGTTTTCGGTTCGCTCGTTTGTCATTTTCCTGGTTAACTGCGACCGCCAAAGAGATGAAAGGAATGAGGGGCGGTAGGTCAAAGAATAATTGTCAATTTGTTTTGTGGCACCGAAAAGGGTCCCCTCCTCTGATGCTCCTCAGGAAGACGGCGGCTGCTCTTTGGGGCAAATAACGCCTGACAGCAATAAAATTTATTTAAGTGGCCTCATAATTGTTAACAACAAGAAGAACAAATATAATAATAAAAGGCAAACAAAGGCAGCTGCAAGTGAAATGAGCAATTATTAAGCCATGAAAAATTTAAACCCCCCCCCCCCCCCCCCCCCCACCAGCAAGAGCAGCAACAACAGCAACAAAACCAAAAACAACAACAGCAGGCGTCATAATAAAGTTATTATCCGAGAGACAGGGAACGGGGGGAGAGAGCGGGTTGGCATTTGGTAGGGGCTCTGCGAAGAGATACGCAAAATACTCAACAATGAAAATATTAATAACGTTAATGAAATTCTCATTTGCTTGGTCGGCTCAAAAGCACGGGCGGTGGCTGTGGATAATAATGCTAATGGGGGGAGAGCCACCACGGTGGCAGGAAGGCCTGTTGTAGGCGACAAGTGAAATGCCAAGGGTTAAGTTAATGGCCTCGCAAAGCTCAAGTTAGATTAAATATAAGGTGAGGCAGCTGAAAATGTGCTGGTGAATTTGTCGATCGTCGCTGAGAGAGAGAGGAAGTGAGTTAACAGCAAGAGCATAGCAAAGCCCTACCATTAGTTTTGTTATACCTTGCCCAGACATTCGTCTTCTTTTGCCCACACCGAGGCTCCCTTTCACCCACAGCCTTCTTTTTCTCTTTTGTCTCGCAAAGCAAATATTTGCCCCGCTAAGTAGGCAGCAAAAAAAACTTTAAATGCGTGTTCGTATGTGTGTGTGATTGCGGGGGCGTGTAAATGTGTGTGCTTCTACGTTTGCTTGTGTGCGTGATTTCGGTCAGTGGCAACATGATTTCTTTGTTTTTTTGTGTTTTATTTTCCGTAGAATAGTCTTAATGAATTTTTCATGGGACTTTGATGACATTCAAGTACCAGAACTTTGTTTGCCTGTGTTCTTCCTGCCAAGCATGATTGTGTGTGAGAGTTTGCTATGCAAAATTTAATGTATTGCATTATTAAATTTGCTTATCTTAGCACATGGAAATTGTCTGTGCGGTTTGTGCACAGAGCATAAATCATCAAGAACATCAAGAACCATTCATTTCAGATGTAAACCATTCTTAAGCTTACATTCGTTGTTAGGTAAAATATAAGCCGCTTCAAAACACATGTACTTGAGCATTATTTAAAGAAAGATAATTACATTTTGCACAGTACAATTTATTCATTGGGAAACCAGACAATTTGTTGAATTTTCCATGACTTCTGTACGTTTTATTTATTGAAGCACTGCACTCCACACCCATAATCAATCAGACATAATTCATTCAATCGAAATTGATATAATGATCATTAAAGCATAATCAACTTTTGCAATTTAGTTCTAGACTAAGTAGATTACAGCTGTGTTAATTGGCCATGAAAAAAGGTCAGCTATTTGTGGGTATTTAAAGTGCAGTTAGCTGATTTAATCGTACAAACCAAATTAGCCATGGTTCTGTACTGTTTATCTCTGGTTTAAAAAGTCTCATCATCTAGTCATGCATTTGAAAAACACGTACATTCAGATTGGGATTCAGTGCGTCAGCCACATATCCATCCAGATATCTCCAAAACCCATTCCCATGTCACATTTTAATTGCCCTGACACTGTCAGCGCTACTCCGACAAGGGCCTTACACAGAGAGCAGAGCCGCCATTAATTTAGTTACCCATCCTGCCACACCACGGGAATGTCATGCAACATGTTAAATAACAAGTGATTTACATTTTTTTTTCCTTTTTCATACGTTACATTCTTACTGGGCAGCATTCCGCGCACGTGCCGGCCATGATTGTAATGCAATTAAATGAATAATTAAATATAATATGCCGCCGGACACATTTGTCCCAACAGCAATGTCCGAAATCAGAAACAGAATCAGAGAGCCTAGCAAATGCTCAATCTTTGCAGTGGAGTTTTCTCGTATTTAAACATAAATATAATCGATACATTTATGAACAAATTATCTCTGGAAAATAGGCATATAATTTATACAGATATTTTTAACAATTTTGTAACGCAAGCGAAAGAAATAAATATATTGTAGATGGAATAGACACTTTTAATGTTGGCAATATCGGCCCTGTAATAAGAATAGAGGGGAATGTGTTGGCCTCTTGCTTTCGTATTTGTGCATTTCGTGTGCCTCTGTGTGATGTTTTTTCTTTGCATCCGCTGCTGCTTCTGCTGATTCATGATTTTGTTGTTGTGTGTTCTTGGGCATAATAGTGAAGAGCACCGAAGACAGTCGACTGAAAGCGGAGTTCGTTCTAGATATCTTGATTAATTTCACGAACAAGACACTGAAACGACAGCTTGCGGATAAGCAGATCAGTCGAGTTCGACGGCAGCGACGAGTCTCACGAAGGACAGCAGGGCTGGGACGACAACGATTTGGGTTCTTCACGACACCGGTAGACGGGTGGCCAGCTGGTGGCCAGAAGGCGTCTAGCTGACGGCCATCTGGCCAGCGAGGAATCTTGCCTCCAGTGGATTTATGGGAAAGCTTATGACAGGTCACTGTTCTTTAATTGAATCAAAGTCGTTTAATTAGTTCAACAAACTGGAAATCAGTACATTCCAGGAACTCACACTACGACAATTTCCTAATCAGTGTAGGCATGAGTAAAGTATTATTTTCAGAGTTATTTCCTTAATTGATAAACTTTGTATATTGCACTCACTAAAACAATATATTTATCAAATTATGCTAGTAGAAAAGTTGACCAAAACTCTGCTGGAATTCTGGAATGCTGGAATTTTACGAATGATTTGTCTGAAATTTTGACGCTTACTTTACAGTGTTGTGTAACGACAAGTGGTAGAAATGTTGGGGACTCAACTTGCACACATCAACTTAAAGTGCCAATAAATTTAATTGGTATATTTGTAAATGTTTTCTGAATGTTTTTTAAACGTTACCCTAAATTATATTTTTCAATAGAGTTAATAGACTATTTATTTCCATATAAAAACTCACCATTATTGAGCGTAGAGCCGCCCACATTGACGCCGTTGCCCTCGCTGCCCGTGTCGGTGCTCAGAGCCATCGACGTGGCCAATAGACAGGCAAAGACCACCACGATATGCATTAGAAATATTGCAAAGTGATTAAACATGTTGGTGTAACTGTATATGGATTAAACTTTGTGTTCAACGTTTTGTTTGCCTCATCAATTATGCAAGAAAACGATTTTAATTAATTAGTGCCGCAATTTGTTGTTATCATTACTTAAATATATTTTTTCACTACTTCGTTTTTTTTTGTATATTGAAAAGTGCTGCACAGTTTTTGCAAGTTGATTGTTTAATGCTGTTTATGTTTTTATTATAATTTTTTTAATGCTGCACATTTAATTGGTATATGTACACGGGCGTTTTTTGCATGGTGTTTTCCTGAAATGTAAGGGAGAAATTATGAAATGAAATGACATCATTAATCACAGACTAAAACATAAATTTAAAGGGCAATAACATCAAACAAGACGAGTGGTCCAATTTGCCTATAGATTTATATTTATAAATATATTACATTTAAAGGCAGACTCTGCTGATTTATTTAATACCCGAACCACGAAACAGACGCCACCCCAGACGACAGCAGACATTCAGTTCACAGTGGCCCTGTCTGGTCATGAGCGGGAGGCGGGATAAAAATGCTGTGCAAATTCTTGATTGAATTTCGCCTGACGTAAGCGGATTAAAAATAAATTCTATGGGAAAGTATAAAACAACATACCACACAACAAAACACAACAAAACACAACAGAGGGAAAGAGAGAAAGAAGAAAAAGGAGTTATGGCGGTCAAGTCATAAATACGCAGTCGAGAAAAAGGACAAATGTCAGCAACCCAGCATCAGCGACAAAAAAAATATACAAAAAAATAAAACCGGGAACATTGATTAATAAGCAAATTCCTTCACCAAATTAACACATATCAAACGCACTGTACAATGCAATTTACAAATTAGTTTGTTTCAATTTCAAATGCAATTAATTAATTGAAGCTTTAATTTAACAATTAACTGCTTCTGTTCAAGTGCCATTCCACATTGAATTGAAATTCAAGCCACAATTGATATCTCATGCCTCAAGTGCCCATCGCCTTAATTAAAACCTAATCAGATACTCCATTAAACGTGGCTCAGACAGAGAACAGTATTAAAAACATCGAGACCCCCCCCGCACGTTCCTCATTTATAAGCTGGACTAAACCGCTTAGGGGAGACGGAGACGGAGACGGAGACAGAGACTCTAAAGCCAAACATAACACTGCAAAAAAAACCGGTGTCTAAAATGTATGAAAATACTTGGGCCAAATTTTCAAATATTTTTAAGATGTGCAGATAGTGAAGCACTCACTCAATTGATTCAAAGTAAATCCAAACTAGCGAACATACTTCTCTCGCTCACACAGCATGCTTTTCCCATAAAGTTTTCATCGCTTTCTGGCTCACACAGTCATTGAAATACGTAACTGAAATTTGAACAATTTCATTTGTGGTGAGTGTGCAATTAAAAAAAAATTAGTCTGTATAATTGTTTTCTACTCAGGTCTAGCCCCTAACCATGGATATGCCAACTTTCAAGTGTATTATTATAGGCGATGCAAACTGTGGCAAAACCACATTTTTGAAGCGCCATCTAATTGGAGAATTTAATACGAAATATGTGCCCACGGTCAAGTACGCAACCAATGTGGACACACTGATATTCAGCACCACTCGCGGACCCATTCGTTTCGATGTTTGGGACTGGGGTAAGGAGGACAAGGAGCTGGAACGCTATCCAGATGACTTCTACAAGGACAGTCAGTGTTCGATCTTGATGTTTGATCTGTGTGCGGTGGATGCCTTCGATACTTTTCCCAACTACGCTGTAATGTTGGAGAAATTCTGTGCGGATATACCAATAGCCATCTGTGGCAACAAGGCGGATATCAAGCTTGATTTCGCATTGAGACCAGAAACCTTTTTGGGATATGGCACCGAACCGGAGGATCGCATTTATAGCGAAATATCAGTCAAGACTAATACCAATATCAATGGACCGTTTCTTTATTTGGCACGCAGCCTGTTTAAGGACTTCACACTGCAGTTTGTCAAGCTGCCTCGCTTGGTGCTGCCTCCGCCCGTGAGCATCGTAAAGATGTCTTAACTTTGAAGTAATTCAAAGAAACAACAGCACACATAGGCACCTAAACAACACTGGAATACATTCCCTCTCTAGAGAAATGATTGTCCTCCATCCCACTTCATTTTTAACACCTAAAAACCATATAAATTTCATCTATGGATGTGCAATCTATATCAAAATCTTGAGACCTTTGCTTGGTTGCATTACAAATAAATCTCTGAAAATTAGCGGTCATTCCAACATTCTTTCCTTCCAAAATATCTCCACTTGTGTCAAAGTTTCCTCTTGTTTTTCTCAGTGCGCTGTCAGGTTGCAGTGCTATTGGCATCACCATCATCATCAGCATCAGCTTCGTCCTCCTTCTCTGCTCTTCTTGTGGTTATCTGTGGCTGCCTGTGCTCGTATGTAGATTCTTTTTCCATTCTGTTTGCCTTCTAGTCTTCCTGGTTGTGTCATAAGCGCAAAGCAATTTGCTCTGTCAGCTGTTGTTTTACACTCCCAGTGCCCCATTCCTCTCTCTCTCTATCCGAGCGGGTCTATCTCCGGTTCTTGGATCGGCACCTTCTCCTGCTTCTCCTGCTCTTCCTGCTCCTTCAATCTCCTTCATTGTATTGCAATATGAATGCATTCCAATTAGAATACTTCCTTCGGGGCCAGCTGTTATGGATGGATTTGCCGCTTCGTTCATTCAAAGTTATTGAAATCCATTTGTGAACTTAATTGATTTCCTCGTTTTGCGGACATTTAAAGGAGCTATGTGGGGTCCCTCTCCGCTCCGACCACGACTTTTTAGCCTTGCAGATGTGCCCCACCAAAATGGTTGGCATCTCTATTAGCTGAAGTAGCTGAGAGTAGTCGCCGTGCTAGCTCCCACAACTCCCTCAATATTTCTTCGTTTTTTTTCACGCCCCAACAATTTGGAACAAGGCAAATGTTAGCCCACTCCCACACACAAACACACATTCTCATACACACACAGCTCCCAAAAGCAACTCCACATCCCGTCTCTGTACACAGCGTCTATGCATTTTTTCGCATGCAAAAACTAGTAGAAACAAAATAAAGCAAACAAAAAAAAGAAATGCTTTTTGTATTATTGCCAAAAGTTATTATGGCGGGCAGAGCATTCCAATTTTGTTTTGTTTCCTTCCTACCCCTCACTGGCTCTTTTTATTCCGCCCCTCCATCTCACGCTTTATATCTCCATCTCCTGCTGCATCCTCCCACTCCTCGCCATCGCGTCTGCGGTGCATACTTTGCGGTTGACTGGAAAAGTTTTGCCTTTCCACGAACTAAGGAATGTTGATGTCACGGTGCCGTTTGCTGCCTCCCCGCTAAGTGGAATCTTTTGCCAAATATTTGGGAATCTGTTGCGAAATGTTGTGGATTTTTTATTGGTAAATTGGAAATCGGGACTTTAATTGTGCTTCATCGTATAATTTTTGAGGCTGCAATACATACATCATACATTATTCATACATTATTTGAAAAAAAAGGTCCTCAAGAATTTGTGCATTTCAAATTCTTGGGTTCATTTACATATACTAGGCATATTTTCGGATACAAAATTCTCATAGTACCTACTGACTTCCATTAGGTGCAGCTCTAGTTAAAACTTCTGAAATAACGAATACCTTACAAATCTTGAAAAGTGGTGAATGCTCCTATGGCTTATATTATTTATTTCATAAAATATTGTTTCTTTTTAGAGGCGTTCGGTAAGTCGATTTTTTAACTTTAACCCTATGCTCTTTTACCTGTCAAATGTTCTTCGTACAACCCCATGAAGAGTATTAAAATATTCAACTTTTGCAAAAACAATTGAAAAACCATCTGTGCCGGTTGCCAGTAGTTTTACTCTCTGCTCTTAAAGCGTTTGATTTTTGCAATCTAGCTAATAGCGAAAAGTCAACACTGCCGCCGGGGCTTTGATTCGAAATGACAGTGAGTAATGTTTGTTTTATTTCACTTTTATTTTTTTGAACTCCGAGGGTAATGGGCAATATCTTGACTCTGCAAAGGTCTCATCCTGACGGTTTCGTTCATTTAAATCAATATTAATAGCGATGTTTACGCCCCACAGGAAGTGAGAATGGGGCCGTGTGCCGGTGCCGGTGCCTGTGCTGGTGCCAGTGGTGGTACCTTTTTGCAGTCTTCTGCAATCTCCTGCCTTTCCTGATGAGTACAAAAAAAAGAAAGCAGAAATGCACGCACGAATGCGCTGTATCCTACTGAATGACGATGGCTATCCTCCTGCTGCTCCTTCTGCTGCTGAGACCCCTCCTACTGTGACTCCTGTTCTGTCTGTTGTACATACTCCTCCTACTGTGACTCCTGCTTCGACGACGACTCCTCCTTCTGTTCCTACTGAGCTCTGAGTCTCCCACGAAGCATTCATTCGCTTGTGCATAATAAATCAATTTACATTTTCTCTCGCCACACGCAAAAATGAAATGCAAATAATGGCAACAAACTGGAATGGAGAAGGGAGTACGAATCCTGCTTTGAGTGGGGATGGGTTTGGGGAAGTGGTAAATGAAAGATGTAGCAATGGTGGAACACTTTTCACCGCAGAGATTTACGCGCACTTAAATCACAGCCAACAGAATTGATCACCATCAATGAAACAGCTGTAAGAATGGGTAAAAAACGAAACAGGAACGAGGAGGAATTTCCTCCTTAATTTTCATGGAAATCATCTGCTTCTGTTGGTCATTTAGGGACGCTGGAAATGATGCACTTAATGAGCATAAAATATGCTAAATACCCAACGTTTGTTAGTGCCTTGTATCTTTTGCTTTTTCCATCGGCACTTTGGGACTCGAGTCGAGGGAAATGGCATTAAGTGAATCGCGAGAATTATGCAAAAGAGTGTTGATGTAAATCAACAGTTGCTCGTCGCCCCAACGGCCATATCCATGTCAATGTCCAGGGTGCTAAGCTCTTTATAAAGGACATTCAGTAGAAGAAGTTGCATCTGTAGCTGCAACTGCCTCTGCCCCTGCCACTGCCCTTGCTGTTTGTTTGTTTGTTAGCCATCAAGGCGCCAGTGTCTCGCAGGCAGAGCGGGAAGACACAGCTGCAAGTGGGAATTGCCAACTGATAGAGAATAAGTAATTTAAGGCGGAACAGACAGACAATGCTTTGGTCATTTATATTAATTCATAATCAGCGTCTGTCGACAAGATTACAATTTACAAAAACATGCAACACGGACATCTGTAAGATTATCAGGAGGAACAGCATCCGCTTGGCATCAAGATTTCAATGAGAGATTAAATTTATTATTATTATTACAGAGTAGATTTCAAGCGAAAAATATCACTGATCTCCGATGTATTTCGTAAAAAAATGGAATCGCCAACCATAATTTCTCGTCGATTTTTCAGATTAATTTTTTCACTACTTTTAATTACAGCTTAATCCAGCACTTCATCTGTCCATGCCGGCCCAGTTTTAAGCACTTTAAAATCCTGGAAATTTAAGCACAGTATTCTCAACGCCCTGCCACTGTTTGCAACGCCCTGTCCTGCCGCATTTTCCACCTTCTTCTGGAAAATGGCCATTAAAGGTAGCTGCCTCATTGACAACAAGGCAACTGCATTTAACACGCTGGGCCTGCCAGTGCAAAGCGTAAATGCTTTTGTTAAATAAATATGTATACCGTACCTCCATAAATATACATACTACACACATACATACATATATTTAACTATATAGTGGGGGGATGGTACATGAAGAAAGTTTACTTCAATGCTCAGCAGCGTGATTTTTCATGCGCATAGTTCTGCAGACGGTGGAAAACTTTACCCAAAGAGGTTAATACGCTGGATTCAGCAGAAAAGGGACAGAGTGGCAGAGAACTTCCGAGGGGGGTGTGGAAATAGATGGACGGAAGGAGCGCCGTTCAACGGTTGGCTCAATGGAGCTGCAGTTTCTGCTGTTACTCTTCCCGCTCCTACTCCTGCTGCTGCCGCGCATAAACAACTGAAGAAATGAAGCCAGAGCACAAAAGGCAACATTTGCAGCTTCTTCTGGGGCGGCGCACCCGCATAAACCAACAATGCAAGACAGCAAAAGTGTTTAATAACTCACGGCGGTGGCAAGGCCATAGAAGTGGGTTTATTGGTAGCATTGGTTATCAGACTGGGAGCGGAAGTAAGAGCAGCTGGCCATAACATTACCATTAGTGAAAGCGAATGGAGACGACATGAAATCCCATTTAGTTTGTGCCAAATACTTGCTTAAGGCGTTTATTATCGATGCCAGAGCAAATAGACTTTATATAGCACTTCAATGTGTCTAATGACAGCAGGGCAGTCAGTGTTGATCGTTTGTTAATTGGGAAAGATTATTATCGATGAGGAAACGAGCTTAGCAGCATGACAGCTTCGATACAGCCATCAATTGCAATGCAGTTGGATGCTATCAGCTGGGATGGATATAATTTTAAATGATCAAGCAACGATTTTCGATGACAGCTACGAACTACGAACTACAACCAACCACATAGCTGGAAAAACGACCATAAAATATCTTAACAAGCTTCATAGAACTTCAATAGAAACTGAAAATATCCATCAGACACTCATACAAAATTTAAATAAAATATATGTAGAGTTATCTTTCCAGATATCATTTCTTATCAAGCTATGCATAGCTCAATATTAGTTTTGTTTTTCTGTTGAGTTCCACAAATTTTAGCTATTTGCGAAAACCCAAGGGAGAGCTATTTATAAATATATGTGTGCATGGCTGCATAGACGCTTTCTTGATGTATTTATTCTCATGATCTCGTTGTACCGTAAATTTTCCCACCGGTTATTGAACCCTGATCATGACTAGCATCAAAAGTTCTTGGGGTGCTCACAAATGAATCCAATATGTATTCTGCGAATTCAATCTCCCTCTCCGCTTAATCTTTACGCTCTGCTCCTTGTGCAAATTTCCCCATTATCTGCGCTAATAACTCACCGTAGCAGCAACATATCTGCTCCAGTCTGGTCTGGTCTGGTCTGTTCTGTGCAGTGGGGCTGGTTGGCTGACTGACTGTCTGCAGCAGTGTGGTAGACCATCTGAGGGCGAATTGTCAGTTGGAATCAGCAAATCAATTTATAAATAGACCAGCGAGACGACAGTAGAACAACGCCTTTCCATGTTTCCTTCTGTCGCTGCTATGGCTGATGCTGTCTTCATTTTTTTATTTGCAACATAATTGAATTAGTAGAACGATAGACCACGAGACGCCACCACCGCGAGCCGGTAAAACGGGAGACCCCAAAAATCAACAACAATTCGGGGAACGTTGCAACAATAACATGATTTGCGGTGGCATGGCAAATCAAAATAAACACTAGCACACAAACGTTGATTAAGAGCACAATTTTGTAATTATTAATGGATCAGAGATAATATTATTTCCACAAACACATGTCGTGGGAATGCCACGTGAAAGAGACTACTAAGGACACCGCACAGCGATTCGAAAGAGATTTTTGAGCACGAACTAAACACGACTGCCGCGCGCAACGGTATATTTAGCACTGAGACACGATGCCACGCGATTGAACAAATCAAGCAGCCGAGACGCGCGACTCAGCATCCCGAAGTAGGATGCCTGTCTCGTGGCTGGTCGTGTGAGGTCGTGTCTGGCAGTTGCTTCGGCTCCAGCCGCCTGTTAAAAAGATAAACAAATGTTGTGGTTGGCCGTGATTTATGTTACATTTACATCTGTTTACAGCCGCATTTAACAGGCACAGGCACAGCCACAGCTACATCCACATGCTGCTGTTAACAGCTGTTACCATGTCCAATGCAAGTGCTTACAAAACTCTTAATGTTTGGAACAAATGCGTTTAATGTTTATCATGTGAGATGAATGTGTGAGAAAAGTTAGAGATCAACCCCGAAAAAAGGGGGGCAGCAGCTGTAAGACTAAAGTGTTTTGTGTACGCAAGGGAAAATAATTAAGATGCTGGGCTTAACACAAACTCTGAAATTTAGGCAGAATTCAAAATGTCTTTGTATGATGCCTTTTGTGGTAAACTTGTTCAAAAAGGGCGAAAAGAATGTGTAAGACACTAAGTGATTTGATAATACAAACATATTTATCATTGAAGTGCCTTGAACCATGAAACAGCTTCTTCATTTTTAAAATGGAAATGAGAAGAAATTTAAGTGAAAATGTAGCCAATAAATTCAGTAAATATTATGGTGGAAACCTCTTAACTAAGTACTCCCTATGTCTATGTATTATTCTCTATATTTGTGCTATTTTTATATCTATCATTTTCTAGCGGCTCTCCTCACCTACTCTTTTGTTTTTCCAACTCGGTTTCTTGTGTAGTAGCTCTTAAAAGAGTTGAGGAACTTTAATTGTATGCGGAGCATACTTAGTTTCAAGATTTGTTTATTGGCAAATCATGCGTCAAACTTCCAAACTTTTTCCAAGAATAAAACGTATCTCATTTTCTGCGTGATCTAGTAGATAAGTAAAATATTGTGCCACGTACGTTCTAACAGAGAATTAGCCAAGGACAACCGTAACATTCTTTGACTCGAAACATTCAGTACTTCGTAGGGGTAGGTAACAGAGATCTGCTATGCAAATAATTCTCATAGCTTTTAAGGGATATTTATCAGCTCAATGTTAGGCCAAAGGCATTCTCTTTGCCTACTGTTATAGTTAACATGCCTTATAAAAGCGCAATCCCCCTTCAAACAAAATGTTACAGTTCTAAGAGAGTACAGCAGCGCTCTCACATCCCCCTGTTAACTGTGCACCCTTAAAATATACCGGTATTACCCCATTTTACTCTGGGGAAGCTTTATCCGAAAGCTTTCGCGCCTATAAACTTTCCAAGTTCGATTAAAGTGCAATTGGTACTTCCAACTTGAACTTCCAAGCAACTTGACAGCTCAAAAAGAAAGCAAAAAGTCAAAAAGAGAGCGAGCAGAGAGCATGGCAATCAGCTGATTGTCAAAAGTCGCGCGCCCCACCACCCCGCCCGGCCATCAGCTGCCAGCTGCCGAGGGAAAACAGTAACTTTGTCGCTTGGTTCCGTTCCATACCCTTAAATAGTCTTTGGTATCGCCATGGACGCGGGGTGCGTCACCCAGTGACGTCTGCTAACGGGGCGCATGCAAAGCAGTTGTATACGTTTTGTTCTTTGTGTCCGTGCGCGTGTGTATAGACGCGAAGTTGCATTGAAATACGCTTTTCCAGAGCCAAAACAATAGCCGAAAAAATCAGCGACAAGAACCACAGGCCTTGACCCAAAGGCAAGGCAAGCAGCAGCAGCAGGAGCAGGCAGTGGCAGGTCGCCGCATCATGAGGCACCACCAATTAACAGCGGAAGCAACAATAACGTGAAAGCCAACAAAGGAGGAGAGGCAGCAGGCAGCGGGAACCAAAGAGCTGCTGCTGCTCCGCGGTTTGGCCTACTTTTACGCACCTACCGTGGAGCCCTGGAGCATGGGTTCATGTCTTGGCAGCTGCGTCACAGCTGCCACAAATTCCAACAGCTCCAGAACATCCACAGCATCGTCTTCCTCCACGGCCTCGTCCTCTTCCTGTGTGCCGTCAGCGGCAGCTGCCAACAGCTGGCTTTGGTAAGGTCTCCGGTCTCCTTCTGCTCTCCCTTGGGAGTGACACCGCGGTACAGAAGTTAATTTAAATTTAATTTCGTTTAATGTGTGGCGCGCACAAAAGTGTAGTAGGAAGTAGTTCCAAATCCAATAAGCGCGTTGCCCCCCAATCAATACGAGCTTAGGGGCACAATCAAAAAGAGGGTTGGGGGTTTGGCTTACTAATTAGCGCTAGAATTGCTCCATTAAATGGCTGCACGCTTGCTGTCCGAGCCCCTTAGTCGACGTCGTCGTCGTCCAAATTGCATAAGCAAACATAATTTGCGAGTAGGGGGATACACTTTGTCGGTAGCCTACTCCGTTCAATGGAGAATGAAGGGTCAACAGCCTGAAAGTATGCAATGCTCGAGGGCCTGCATGTTGCCACAAATAATGCCACAGACGACGAGGCTTCCACGGATATGTGCATGGAATGGATTGCCCCAGCAAGTGGGGTTGGTTGTTGGTCACACATAAACAAGGGAAACAAAAGCCACAAGTTAATCAAATCAAGCGAACGTGAACTATACCCTATGCACCCCTCTGGTGAGGCACTAAAAATTTGATCGAATTAGTGGAGCGATTAACATGCTGCAACAGTAAACTAGGATGGAGAACCAATTCCAAACCAATTTCTGTGATAGTTTACTTTTGCATTACTTGAAAACTTCTTTCATAAACGAAGGCTCTACAAGTTGTTCATATGAAAATAGGTCAACCAACAAATGTGAATTAAAATAGCCACATATTGTATGCTAGCCAACACTGTAAAACGTTACACAACACCATCGATCGTTATGCAGCACCATCGATCGCTCCACAGCACTATCCATCGTTCTAAAACACTAACCACAACTACATAGCAACATGCAGCCCTGCATATTATTATCCACCAACTAATCATCCCAAAAACTAATATACCCCAACAATAATCGAGCGAACAAACGAGGAAAACAACACCAAACGCCATATCGAAGACCACAAAAGGTGCAACGTATGCACTGAAAATACAATGCATTTTGCCACTTTCAGGCGTCGACGCAGGCCCAGGGCCAGGCTGGCCACAGACGAGCTGGTTGAGCAGGAGCAGCCCGAGACAGAGCTCATATCGAGCGACAGGGGGAGGACGACAGGTGGAGCACAGCGATGCCAGCAGCGACGCGCCCTTGTCTATCGCATTCTGAAGTTCAAAAGGAAACAGCAATGCCCCCAGTTCCTGGACAAGTACTGGGAGCAACAGCCGAGCTATGCGAAGCTACAGAATGACAGGTGAAATGAACATACGCCAGTCGTAAATCAACTCCAATAACTCTGTTCCTTACTGTAGTGCAATTTCCGATATACAGCTGCAGAATTTGGATGTTTTCAAGCTGCTCAATGCCCAGGCAACGCCCAGCAAGGAGACCGAGATGCATGGCAACTATCAGCGGATGGCCAGCTCGAGGGCCAGCTCTTCGTTGGATTTGGAGTGGGAGCACGAGTACTCGCAGCTGCGAAACTACCAGCAGGAGCAGAAGGAGCTGCAAAAGGAGAAGCCAGCGACAGAGAACACCCCACCGATGGCGGCCAAACAGCCGCGTTACGCTTCCCTGGACCAACTAGCGACAGCTGCATCGATGGCTGCAGGCAGCCATGGACGACACGGAGCCGGTCGATATCCCCGTTTGGGCAGCCATCGGCATGGTGGCTCCTTCACGCGAACCTCCTGCTGTTCATCCACACAGAACTCGTGGTCGCACATCTCCACACCCGAGTCGCTCGAATGGGATGTCGATGAGGAGCGGCAACAGCAGCTGCAGCTGCGCCAAGAGGACGACAATCTGGACGATGAGACACTTAAACTGCTGCATCAAATCGAGCAACTGAAGCATCATGTGCTCCAAGAGACAGGCGATGGACTGAGCATGGGAGCTGTCGCTGTCGTCGGGGAGGTCACGGAGGGTCTACAGTTTAGGGCCACGCATTTTGGAGGTGGCTCCGAGCTGGAGGCATCCATAAGTTGATTTCGAAAGAGGATTCGATGTACATATGAGTATTCTAAGGCATGTAAAAGATCATTTGAATGTGAGGAGGATTCTTTGGAGGAGTCTCACTACTCTTACACTGTATATTGTAATAGAATAATTGATTAATACCAAAGACATACATAGATATAAAGATATACATACATAGATGGGTATCCCGTAGATTCCAAACAACACAAAACAGTGCACGCTCTAAGGAATGAAAATGTACTTAAGCGAGTGAATTTTAGAGGTGCCATAGAAATTACGAGTGCACAACTTAGCTCCCTGTTTTTTATTTAGATTAATTTTAAATTTATTTTTTGTTGGAACTAATAATCAATTTTTCTCCTTCCAACTCCTATTTAAATTCATTTTTATCCAACAAATCTTGTGTACAATCCATTATTGACCTCACAGAACTCCCAAGCTTGTCACCTGCGAAGTTTCAGAAAATGTAAACAAAAAATTGGCTTTATTTGCAGAGATTAATTCTTTATATATAAATTCTTTAACTCTGTCTCAATTATATTTATGTTTTAATCTGCCAAATTGGCATTTAAACGATCACCATTTATCACCATTGAGTATTTATTCTCCTCCCAAATCCAACACCTCCAATCCAATTCCCGTACTCTACCAACGAGCGTGCACTGTTGTATCTGATGATCCAAAGCAAATGAAGTGCCTAGCCTAAGAGCCATTCCATCAGCAGATCGGAATGGAGATCTCTAATCCCAGAAACAATTTCCCAAAAAATATAACATTAAATACAGCCTTCTTCAAGCATATCGTAAAACCCGCAAGATTAGCACAGCACAGAGATCAGAGAACAGAGAACTTAATTTTCCTATAGCTAATACCTATTTATAATAATCGCATTTGAAACTGTTTATATTTTGCGTAGAGAAATGAGCAAACCAAAACAAACAAAAACAGAGCCTATTATATTTTCAAAGTTTATTAATGAAATACAAAAAGATTAGGTCTTTAAAAATCGAGAAATAGAGGAACAGAAAGTCTCTCAAGGCAGAGTGTAAAAGAGTTAGGGGAGGAGCAGAAAATCCTCTATGAAAGAGGCACTTATTCAGTAATAATTAGTTTGTGTGTGGCTGGTACTAGTGTGACCTTTCTCAAAATCTCATTTATTTATTTATAGACTAAATATTAAAGAAACGTTTTTAGAAAATATATATTTAAAGTTTGTGTGGTTTGGGTTTCGTTTAACAAATCGTAACTATTCGTAAAGTATTCGATAAATGGCAGTTTCTTGCGTTTCTTCATAGGACCGTCTAACCGATCTTGCTCTTGAGCTTATCCCAGAACGAAGGCTCCGCGGTGGCCTCCACTTCCAGTTGCTAAATGAAATGGAAGGAAGTTTATTAGAGAGACTCTTTAGAGGTTTATTGTGATCAAGACTCACCTTTGAAGGAGTCTGCTGCAGCTGTCCACTGGAGCTGTGGCCAGTATAACGTCCACCTGCCCCCAAACCACTCAGATCCTCCACTTCCACCTGCTGCTGCTGCTGTCCAAAGTCCTCGAGATTCTGTGACTGCTGTTGTCCCGCCTCATATTTGGCATTCCAGTCCGCATCCTCCCCCACCTGCTGTTGCTGTCCCTCGTTCCAGCCCAGATCCACCTGCTGCTGTTGGCCCAAGTCCTCGACCTGAGGCTCCTCGCCGGCGGCACGACTCCATTTGCCCAAGGTGGCGCTCGCGCTGGCCGATGAGCCAGTGGGTCCGCCGCTGGCCGAGGCTGAGGCGCCACCCACGGGCACATTGAAGGTGTAGTCGCGGCGACTGTATTCGTAGCCACCGCTGGGCGATGAGCTGCGACTGTAGGGCAGCGGCGGCAACGGGGTGGACAGAATGGGCGATGGACGGGGGTAGGGACGTGGCGTGCGTGTCTCACCCTCTAGTCCAGGCTCATCTGTCTCATCGTAGGACTCCTCGTACGTGTGTGGAGGCTGATCCCCACGATCCTTGGAGAAGATGGGCCTGTACACATGCGTGGCATTGGTGCTGCCAGGATCCACGACATAGCCACCATCGGCACTGCCACCCGCAGGCAGATCAATCAGTCCCTGACTCAGGAGATACAAAACACGCCGCCAGATGACCAACTCCTGACCAAACTTTCCATATCTGCTCTGCAGCCTGCCCAGCGTCCATTTGTGGGCTTTCTCCCAGTTCTGTGCCTCGGCGGCGGACATTAGTTTGCGATGATTCGCGTAGGTCAGCCAACGGAGTTCGCCCTCGCGGAACTGCTGCAGATCGCTCTGCGTCATGCCGTAGTAGTAGGCAACCTTCTGGATGCGCTCCAGCTCGAGTTTCTGCCACTCCTTGAGCTCCTGCACGGAGATCTCGTACTTGCTGGCAAAGTCCTGCAGCAGCTTCGTGTCCTGGTTCTGCCAGCTCTTCAGCTGTGTCTGCGTCATGTTCTGGGTGCGTATAAACTCGTACAGGCGATCCCTTTCGCGACGCTGCCAGTTGGTCAGATAGTTCAGCTGACGCTGCTCCAGCTGCTGCTCCTTGTTCAAGTTGCCAATAATTATGCGCTGAACGGGAGCCAGTTGTGCCAGACCCACCTGGTAGACCTGAGCCAATTGGTTCTGGAAGTTGTCATCGTGCGAAATGAACTCCAACAGCTCCTTCTCAGTGATGACCAACTTGCTGGCCACCTCCCGCAGGCGTATGCGCTCCTGTTCGTGCCAGTTGTTCACCTGTCGAACGGTGTCCGAGGTGAGGCCCATGTCCGCAAAGCGACTAAGTTTCTCGTGGATGAAGAGGCGCAAAGTCTCCACTGATATCTGATATTGTGGGGCCAAAACGTGGACATCCCTGAGCAGCAGTGTCTCCAGCGCCTGCCTGCCAATGTCTGGCTTGTTCACGGCCTGCAGATAGATCCGCTCCAGCTCTCGGCTCTGCCAGGACAACGCCGAACCACGATCGATCTTGCGTTGATCCAGCAGACGCTTCAGTTCATCCTTGTACCAGGCCTTGAGCTCCTCAATGGTCACGCGATACTGCTGGATGGCCTCCTGCAGATGCTTCTGGTCATTGTTCAGCCTCAGCTCCAGCTCCTCGATGGTCCACTTACGCTGCTTGCGCTGCTGCTGATTAATCAGATCCTGGATGTGCTGCTGCTCCTGCAGCTGCCACGCCTCCAACACAACGGGCACCGTGATGAGACCCTCCTTCTGGGCACTATTCTCCAGCCAGAGATGAATGTCCTCAATGGTCACATGGTACTGTCGGGCAATCTGCTCGTGCACGGCCTTGTTGCGGATCAAATAACTCTCAAACTCCTGCCGCGTCATGGGACGCCACTTGGTGACGCTTCTCAAACGCGACAACAGATCCGTCTTCCAGCTGGGTTGCTGCTGCTGCTGCTGCTGCTGATCCTCCCAAATGTTGACAATCTCCTCGTACTTGACATTATTCTGTGGCCGATCAATGACGCCAATGAGGGAGAGTCGTGCCGCCTCCTTTTGCACCCACTTCTCCACCTGCTCGACCGTCACATGATAGTCGCTGGCAATGCCATCCAATCGCTGCTTGTCTCGCTTCAGGAAGTCCACAAACTCCTGGTAGCTGGCGCCATTTCGCTGCTGCTGCAGCCAGTCGTTGAAGCCATGGCTGATCTGCTGCTGCCACTGAGTCTGCTGTTCAAACTGCACCAAGCCAGAGCTCTGCAGACGCTTCAGTTCCTCGCGTGACCACTGCTCCACCTGATCGATGCTTACGTGGTGCGTCTGCGAGAGACTCTCGAGGCGGTCGTGGTCCTTGGTCAGCTCACGTTCCACATCCTCGTAGGGCAGTTCCTGCTGCTTCTTCAGCAACAGCTCAATGAGACGCTGCTGTTCCAGAGCCTGCCACTTGGTTAGATTCTCTACCTTGCCCTGTCCCGTGGTCTTTAGGTTGACCAACTGCTGGCGCAGCCACTCCTCAATCTCCACCACATTCACAGAGTACTGATTGGCCAGCTTCTGCAGACGTTCTCGCTCCTGGTTCAATTCCATTTCAAACTCCACGTAGGTCAGATGATTCTGCTGCTTGACGAGATTCTGCAGGCGCTCCAACTCGGCCACCTGCCAGGCACTGAGACTCTTCAGCGAGGACTCTGTGTGGCCGCGCAGCCGCTTCAGCTCGGAGACCATCCACTGCTCGATCTGCTCCACACTGAGGCGATACTGATCCGCCAGCTGATTGAGATGAGCGCGATCCGCGAGCAGTTTTTGTTCGTATTCCGCCGTAGACAATCCATTCTTGTACTCGGCAATCAAATTCTTGATGTAATCACGTTCCACCAGCTGCCAGTTTTGCAGCTGCTCCATTTCAAATTGGCCCTTCTTGTGCAGGTCCTCAATCACTTGTTTGACATAGGTTTCGACCTCCACAACGCTCACATGATGCTGCTCGGCCAGTTTGATTAAGAAACGACGATCGTTTTGCACCTGCAAAAAATTATAAATAATTTTGGGATAAAAAATCGATTGGGTAAGCGGAATGTCTCCTCCTTACCTTGGCTTGGAACTGCTCCAATGTGATATTCGAGTGCTGTTGGAGGAGCGACAAAATGCGCTGCTGTTCGGTTCTCTGCCACGCCGAGAGCTGCTCGATGTTTAGCTTTCCCTGCTGCTTCAGTCGCTCAATCTCCGCTTGAACCCAGCGTTCAATTTCCTCCACTGAGGTGTGATACTGAAAGGCCATGGTCTGCATATGTTCGCGATCCTTCTCCAACTCGGCGCGCAGCTCCTCGGCGCTCCACTGTTTGTTCTGGCTGATTAGAGCCTCGAGGCGTTCGCGTTCTGCCAGCTGCCAGGATGTCAGATTATCGATCTGCAGCTGTCCCTCGTCGCGCATGCGAGCCAGCTCCTGCTTCATCCAGAGCTCAATCTCCTCCACCTGCACGCTGTACTGACGCGCGAGGCGCTCGAGCAGCTCACGATCCTGCCGCAGGCGTGCCTCCAGCTGCTCCGTGGATTTGTACTGCTGCTGGGCGAGATTCTTGAGATGGAGACGCTCCACCTCCTGCCAGTTGGTGAGCTTCTCGCTGGGCTTCAACAAACCCATGCCAATGAATCGCTGCTCCTCCTTCTTGACAAACTGCTCGATCTCCTCGATTTGCACATTGTGCTGCATGGCCAGGCTCTGCAGCTGGGCGCGATCCTTCAACAGCCACTTGTGGAACTCCTCGACGGTAAAGTCGCGATCCTGTACCATATTGGTGAGGTTTCCCCGCCACTCCAGCTGCCAGTTCTTGAGGCGCTGCATCTCGATGAGTCCCTCGTCCTGCAGCTTCTGGATCTGCTGCTTGATCCATTGCTCGATCTCCTCCACGCGCACCTGATGCTGCTGTGCGAGGCTATAAAGATGCGTCTGATCGCGACTGATCTTTGTCTCGATCTCATCGATGGACAGGTCATTCTTGTTGATCAGATCCAGCAGGCGCTGGCGCTCGATCTTCTGCCAGTGATTGAGTTCCGTCTCCATGCGGAGGCGACCCTCGCGCTGCAGCCGATCGCCCTCAGCCTGGATCCACTTTTCAATCTCCGAGACCTGCACGTTGTAGGTGCTGGACAGATCCTGCAGACGCGCCCGATCGGCTAGGAGTTTTCGCTCAAAGTCCTCTAGGGAATATTTGTTTTGTTGCACCAGCTTGGAGATTTCTACGCGCTCAACCTGCTGCCAATCCTTGAGAGCCTCAGCCTTGACCAGACCCTCGTTCTGCAGGCGCAACAGTTCCTTCTTCAGCCACTCCTGAATATCCTCGACGCGCACCTGGTAGGTGTTGGCCAGCTCGAAGAAGTGCGTTTGATCGCTCTTGATCTTGGCCTCCAGCTGCTCGACTGTCAGGGAGTTGTGCTGGACCAGCTGCTGCAGGCGCTCGCGCTCCTTCTGCTGCCAGAGAACCAGCTCCTGTTCGACTTGCTTGAGCAGACCCTCCGACTGGAACTTTTTCAGCTCGCTCTTGATCCAGCCCTCGATCTCCTCCACCTTTACCTTGTACATGCGTGCCATTTGCTCAAGCCTAGAGCGATCGTTGATAATGGAGTTCTGGAACTCCTCCATGGTCAGCTGATTCTGTCCCACAATGTCGCGCAGGTTCATGCTGACGCTGATTTGCCAGTCCTTGATGTGCTCCTCCAGCTGCTGCTGTCCGCGCACTTGCAGTCTCTGCAGCTCCTCCCGCTGCCACTTCTCCAGCTCGTCGACACTCACACGATATTTGGTGGCAAGATTCTGGATGTAGTTGCGATCCTGGATCATCTGCTGCTGCAGATCTCCCACGGAGCCCTGATGCTGGCGCAGAATGTTCTCTAGGCGCGCACGCTCCGAGCTCTGCCAGGCGGAGATCTTGGATACCTGTTCGTTCTGCTCCTTGATGAGATCCCCAATGCGTGCCACCTCACCGCGCAGCCATTGGGTTTGGTTCTGCATGTCCCCTTGGTACTTGATGGAAAGATCCTTCAGTCGCTGCTGATCGTTCCAAATGGAGCTCTGGAGTGCGGCAATTGTGGCATTGTGCTGGCGTATCAGCTCATCCAGACGCTGCTGCTCCTTGGTGTTGTCCTCCGTGAGTGAGCTTGATGTGGGATACGCTTGTGGCACCTGTGGCGCCAGCGATTCGTTTACCTTGTCGAAATAAACATGTAAACGCTGCAGTTCTTGTCGCTGCCATTGCTGCAGCTGATCTTGGCTGACACCATGCTGTTGGGCCAGCTGTGACAGCTTCCTGCCATTCTCCTGCTGCCAGCGATCAATGTCTTGGGCCGAGAAGCTGTTCTGATGTATCAGCCAGTCCAGGCGACTGCGCTCCTGCCTCTGCCAGGCGCTGGCATCCTGCACCTGCGACTGGTACTGTCCGAGCAATGCCTGGTAGCGCGACAGCTCGCGGCGATGGAACTCCTCCAGCATGGGCAGTGTGATGTGATAGCGCTCCACCACACCCAACAGCCGATCCTCCTGCTGACGCTGCCAGTCCTCCAGTCTCTGCGGTGTGGTCAGATACCAGAAGAACCGCTCCCGCTCCTCCCGCTTCCACTGCTCGTCCCGAGGCACCGAAGACTGCCCAAAGGGACGCTGTTCGTCGAGCACCAATTTGCCATCCTGCCAGCGCTGCTGTGACTCGGAGCCACCCACAGAGCTGGTGCCATCTGGATGTGTGGTAATGGTCTTGTTAAATCTCCGTATAACCACAGTGGAGCTGGAGCCGGGAGAGCTAATCTGATTGTAGGCACTGGGTATGGCCAGTGGGGCACCTCGCAAACCTCCATCCACATGGACCACCGAATTGTAGCCCACGACAGTGGGTTCCATATTCTCGCGCACCCAATCGTGGATGGTCTTCTTCCTCGTAATGGTGGTAGTGGTGCTGCTGCCAGCTGGGATGGAAGTCTGCGATTGCGTATAGAAACCCTGATTCATTTGTGCCGCATTCCCATAGTTGCCCGTCAGCTTGGTGGCCTCTGTGCAGTTGCGATGCACCACATAGGTCTTGCCATCGATAACCTTCACCTCGGCGGGATAGGCATAGTTCTTGACCTCATCAAAGCCACTCAAGTCCACAGGCTGGAAGGAGCTCAAGTCAACGCTCTGCTGCAGATTGTCGCTCACATTGCTGGAGAAGCGTTCCAGCAGCTCGGCGGCCTTTGACTCAAAGAAATTTGGCTGTGAAATGGTGGCATAGCTGAGGCTGCCCTGTCGCATGTCCGCCACCAGTTGCTGACTAAGCTGAGAGCTCAAAGCATCCAATTGGCCAGCACTCTTGCCGCAAAGATCCAAAATTGAAGCTGTGTGAGTAGAGGCTTATAGAAAGAGAGTTTTGTGGGGGAATAGACTGAGAACTCACCGCTCCAGGATCCTCCATAGCCCATGCTATTGCTGGCACCCTGGGAGAGCGCATTGTATTCCTGCTTCAAATGATTCGCCAGCTCTCGCACATCGTTAAAGTGTGCATAGGCCCAGGTGCTCAGTTGTGGTGCAGACTGCACGTAGGAGGAACCTTGGGATGATGTCTGTCCACCGCCATACGAAGACGATGACTGACGTGAGCTATAACTCGATCTGGAGTATCCCTCGTAGCCCTGACTGCTGGCCACAGCCAAGAGCAGGCCACACAAACCCAAAGCTCTCATACCGGAAAACCTGCAAAGAACAGCGGAAAAGGCAGGAAAGTGTGTCATTCATCAAATAATTGTAAATATAATTATAGAGCCAGTGAGAGAGGCCTTGGTGGAAATTATTGAAATCAGAAATTGCCCTTTTGGAGGGCCCTAGTCATGTACTATATATAAGTATTACTTTAATGTATTTTTGGGCTGCCGATAAGGCCCGTTGTTGAAGTTGAATCTAGACCAGATTCAGGCACACAGAGCACGGGGATTATCGCCGTCTATGGGTCGCCCAAAAGGTTAATCAGGCGATAATATAAGGCGTACAACACACATATTCCTATCCGGATCGTACGGGTATTGTATTCTATTCTAATTGGGAGGAGGCTCATCAATTTGGTTCGTATTTGCTTAGGGACCTATGTGGCCTCGAAATTCCCTTTCCATCCGGTGTTGGGTGATAAGTGAATGCCAATGGGCGCCATGGACATGGCAACGTGTTATGAGAACAATCACAACTGTTCTACATATAGTTCCTTTACTCTGAGACACCTTTGACAAAACATCACACACACATTTTTCGTTCTTATCTTTCGTTTTCTTTCTTTCCCAAATGGGTCACCAGCAGTTTTCAATGCATTTCTCATGCCCAATTTTCAGTTTTATTTTTATTTCTGGAGCGCCACTGCAGACGCTGCTGCGTCGCTGCTGCTGGTTTATTTTTAAATTTCATTATTTTATTTTCGTTTTTAATTATGTGCAAGACTTTTTGTCTTTATTTTTCGAGTGTTTTTTGTTGATTTCTACTCACTTTCCAATGTGGCTGCACTTGTCGTAGATTGTTCGTTTCACAGGACACTTCACTGTACTTTCACTGCACTCTAGCTGTAGCTTTTCCGTTACGTTTTGCGTTTATTTTATTTTGTTTTCGAAATGGAAACAACCGTTGCGCCTCGTGGCGCTGCCGCAACTGACAGCCAAGCGGCAGGCATCTAATCTTTTATTGAAAAAATTCTCAGCGTTAGAGAATGACAGACAGAGAGAGGGAGAGCACCGACAGATCATTGGAGAATCTTCTTAGAGAGAGATGTGCGCTTATCACTTGCTCTCTCTGTGGGAATTTCCTTCAAAATTGAAACAAATATATGTTTCTCGCAATATATAATAGTTTCAGTTAGCGACGTCATTGCCCAAACGGAAAGCCGGTCCGGTTTATGAATGGCAATCGAATCGATCGGCAGCCTTAATGACCTCATATTCCACCACCTCCAAAGTGAATCACAATCCGCTGGCTGTGGCTTCATTTTGTTTGCACTCTGAACGGGCAATAGATCAATATTCGAATGGAAATAATGAATATGAATATACATACCTGCGTGATCTCATGACGACTGCCAACTGCAGCAGCTCACAGATGCTCATAGAACGACTGTATTACATGACAGATTGGGGGGTTTGCGTGGGTTTGTTTGCTTAACGAGTGTCTGTTTGGGTGTCTCAGACTGTGTGAGTGATTCAAAACAATTAGACAAGAAATATGCAAATTTAAAAGTGACCTTGACGGCCGGACAGATTCAATTTGTCGTGATAAAAGGAAAGAGCAAAAACCGCAAAGAGGTTCAAGCGGTGGCGGTTTTTCAGCATCCTGGCTTCCACTTAGAATATTAGGATTTCTAGTGGACTAATTAGCATGCAACCACAAGATGACTGAACAAGTTTTGGACAGATTTAATTTCGATTTTAAATGGAATTGAGTATACAAAAAATGTCAAAAAAAATAGTGCTGAAAGGTGGCCAATTGAGACAGTTCTTTAAAGCGCTTTACTTTTCTTTGAACTTCTTTCTTCTTAAAAAATAACTCTTATTAACATGTGTTCCATAGGTCGGACTATTATTTCTTGCTTTCCATTCATTTCTTTTTGTTTTCTTTACTAGGAATCCCCTCAGAGGCGCTCTGAATAATATCTGAAGTGCTCTTTTGCCACTCTCAAATCTCAACAAGCTCATAAATCATTGACCACATTATGTTTGGCTCGACGACGGGCGAGTGTGAGATGTATTGCCTGTGACACCACGTCTCAATGCGTTCTATAAAACTCAGCAGATTTGAAAATAAAACAAAAACACATATTTCTCGAATTTAATTAATGACGAGCGGGGCTACTCATAAGCTGCAAGAAGACACTCACGGGATTCTTAGGAAAAATGTAAACAACAAAATGCAAAAATATTACTTAGCCAGTATCCGGTTTTTGGGCCAAATGAATAATTTCAAGTTCAACTTTCAATTAAAAATAAGATCCACCAGCGCCATCTATGGGAATTAGTGCTGTAAAGCGGAGTAAAGGAGAGTTAGTATTGCTCTCCTTAGACACCTAGCCGCTCTTTCGATACTTTTAGGCTAAGATTCTAAAATATTGCTAAATATATGGTCATGTGGACGCACCTTACACACCAATGTACAGCATGACCATTTAATCTACATATATTTTATTACTTTTACATTTACTTTTGGGGATGTTTTAACGACGACATGAGTTCAATATATATATATATATCGGTATATAATGGTATATTTAATAAATTTCATCCATCTAATTAATTCTATTCTCTCAAATGTCCCTTGAGAATTTTCTCTCTTCCCTGTAGGGATTTTTCCCTGGGAATTTTCATCGCAGCAATGAGTCTTGATTCCATCTTTACGTTGAATTCCATCCCCACTTACGTATTTTACCGTTGGCAACATAATTTGTATAGACCAGCAACATGCTGCGAATATTAACAGCATTGTTCCCTAGGATTTTTTAAGGAATAAGCAACATTTAGTACCCTTGGAGGTTTTTGAAATCTTTGGCTCTAATCAATGAAAAAAAAGTAAATCTGCGTTGAAGAGATATTTTAACAAATTTAGCATAATGTAGAAACATTAACACATTATTATGTTTCAGAGCAGCTTTAAAAGATATATTTAGATATTAAATAATGGATGATCAATGTGGCAACTTAGCGGCGATCAAAATCCGATCATCCCTGCGATGATTTAATCAAAAACAAAAAGTGAAATTGTCAAATAACGTAACAAGACATTCTAAAAACATAGCGTTTATTTATTTCGTTTTTTTTCGAAACCTAAATCGATATTTTTGTAAGCAATCCAATAAAATAGTCAAGACGAGTAGGTCAATGTTGTGGCGAATGTATCGTAAAATCGTATAAAATTGTATTTCCACTGCTGAGAGTATTAGTTTGATCGCAATATTAAACAGAATATTAAAATCGAGTGAACATGTCATTGACCGAGTCCGATTAACCTTCTGGTGACCAAGGGGTGTTTAAGTGAAAACTAAGAAATTCATGAAAATTAAAGATTTTCAACCCAGTTTGGCTGAATGAAACGGTGCCCATTCGAATTGATTCGTAAACAGGGGAGATGGGTGGCTACAATAAACATTTACAAGCAGTTTTATTTCCCTAATTTGGACAAAGTGCCTACCTATTTAAAAGGCGGGCGTTCAGAGTGTTAAGTTTGAACAATCACTCGAAATGAGCATAAAAAAAAATAATAGTATTTAAAAATAAGTCCATCGAGAATAAAACTAATTTATTTATCTGAGACTATTTTGTTGGTGCTAAGTGTGCTAATCAAACCAACTATCAGAGAACTTACAAAATATACGTGCATGAAGGCTCACACTTGACAAAATCGAAGAAGAAGCACCAACTACGTGGTGTTTGGGTTTTCGCTGGAATATTTGTGCAAACAATTGAGTAAAACACACCCCGCCATAAGTGAGAATCAGTGGAAAATGTACCTGCAGTGCAACGTAGCCAAAATTCGTGTAAAGCATAAACTGTCATAGATCGAGCGGCAGGGTGGAAGGAACGAACCATGGGCAGGGCCAAACTGCGTGCACCCGAGCAAGGGAACGCGGAAGCGGAAGCCAACTGTATAGCAAAAGAGAAGTCAATGGAACAGCAGCAGCAGGCCAGCACATCGAAACGCCTTCAGTTCTATCGTTTTGCTTTGTTCTTTGTTGCTGGCAGCTTTGCTGCTTTCACCTTTCACGCCTTGACCTCGTCCAGCTGGAGGCTGAGACAATTGCATCAGCTGCCCAATGCCCACTATCTGCAGACGCGTGACGAGTTCGCCGTGTACTCGGTGGAGGAGCTAAATGCTTTCAAGGAGTTCTACGACAAGAGCATCAGCGACAGCGTTGGCTCGAGCTACTCGGAGGCGGAGCAGACCAACATTAAGGAGGCTTTGGGCGCGCTGCGACTCGCCCAGGATATGCATCTGTCGGGCAAGGATGACAAGGCGTCGCGACTGTTTGAGCATGCCCTGGCCCTGGCGCCGAAGCATCCGGAGGTGCTGCTGCGCTACGGCGAGTTCTTGGAGCACAATCAACGCAACATTGTGTTGGCGGATCAGTACTACTTTCAGGCTCTAACCATTTGTCCGAGCAACTCGGAGGCTCTGGCCAATCGACAGCGCACAGCGGATGTGGTGCAAACGCTGGATGAGCGGCGGCTGCAGTCCCTAGACTCCAAAAGGGACGCCTTGTCGGCCATACACGAGTCCAGCTCTGCTTTGCGCCGCGCCAAGAAGGAGGCTTACTTTCAGCACATTTACCACTCGGTGGGCATTGAGGGCAACACCATGACACTGGCTCAGACACGATCCATTTTGGAGACACGCATGGCCGTCGATGGCAAGTCCATAGATGAGCACAACGAAATCCTGGGCATGGATCTGGCCATGAAGTACATCAATGCAAGCCTGGTGCAAAAGTAAGACCATAAAATGCATTTCTTTGACCCCCAACTAATGGAAATCATCTTTCAAAGACTGGAAATAACCATCAAGGACATACTGGAGCTGCATCGTCGTGTTCTAGGCCATGTGGATCCCATTGAGGGCGGAGAATTCAGACGAAATCAGGTCTATGTGGGTGGCCATGTGCCGCCTGGCCCTGGGGACTTGGCACTGCTAATGCAACGCTTTGAGCGTTGGCTGAACTCCGAGCACAGCAGCTCGCTGCATCCTGTCAAGTGAGTGGAAGATGCCTCCCAACTAGGAATATGCTCAAGAATCGAGTTTCCCTTCCAGCTATGCTGCCTATGCGCACTACAAGCTGGTGCACATACATCCCTTTATCGATGGCAATGGACGCACTTCGCGGCTGCTGATGAACACCCTGCTGATGCGTGCTGGCTATCCGCCCGTAATCATACCAAAGCAACAGCGCAGCAAATACTATCACTTCCTAAAGCTGGCAAACGAGGGCGACATACGCCCCTTTGTGCGTTTCATTGCGGACTGCACGGAAAAGACGCTGGATCTGTATTTGTGGGCCACCAGCGACCTGCCCCAACAGATCCCGATGCTCATCCAGACGGAGAGCGAGTCGGGCGAGCAGCTGGCTCAAATGAGGTCTGCTCCACACATCGCTCAAAGCGCCTCAATACCGGAGTTCTATGAGTTCTCCGGCTCCGGTTTCCTGCCCTGACACGCAATTAGCAAATTCTTTCAGTTATTTATTTTTCTATATATTTTAATTTGTTTGTCGGACGGACTGTGATCGTATTTAAGCTTAAAGAACTAACCAAAAAAAAAATAACAAGCTGCTGCTGGACAGAAGTTGCAATCAATGCACAAAACAAATCAATCAGCACCGAGTAGTGCTATTTATTGTATATTTTTTATTAAGTAGCAATTTGTGTGTGTATACTAAGTCTACCAAAAACTGTGACGTTTTTTCCAAGTTGAGGGGAATCTTGAGGGGTTACTCTGGAACACATGTAAATATGACATATCCTAAGAAACAGATTTGATACTGTAGTTTATCCTTAGGGATTGGTTTTTCTAGGTATTGCCTAGACACTTAAAATGGTTTAAGAAGACGTCGAAGGGGCCAGATTTAAAAACAATTAATTATGTCATTTGTGGGCTGATATTATTTATTGAATAAGCTCAGTGAAGAGTCGGTACAACCAGAACTTATAATTTTAAGACACATAATGCTTCAATTTTTCGTCAATTTCAATAGTAAACGATTTTGCTGAGGCTGTTTTCCGGCACTCTTACAATTATTCATGCATCAAAAGCCATCCTGAGTTCAGATTTGACAAGCAAATGATTTCCGTTTACGTTTTGTGGCGACTCTTTATACATTTGTAGAGTATTCCAAACATACAAAATTCATTCTTATCTAAATGCAATCCACCCATGCGTTACACAAATTTCTTCTTTTTGGTGTCTTGAGCTATTTTATACAATTGTGGAACGTATTTTATAATGTAATTAACATCGCTTAGCGATTAACAAAGTATTAAGTAACTTAATATTGCACATTTGTGAATGTAAAAAATGGATTTAAGTGGTGAACACACTCTACAACTTGGCGCGCTTCAGATAATCCTTGTAGGTGACATCGCGCCACCATTCGGGACGTTCAAAGACACCAGGCGTCGAGACAATTGTCTTTTGCAAATGCTGATAGATCTGAAATAATAAGAAAAGGCCATTAGCACTTAAAGAGCAGAGAGAAAAGGTACTCAAACTTACGTTGCCATCACTCATGCCCAGTGGTGAATTGAGGATAAAGTCTGTGGGTGCAATTGCATCAATCAGTCCAATTGCCTCATCCTTCAGCACTGGCAGCAGCTGCAGAATACCCTGCTGGTAGAGCTCAATGTGTGGACTGTCGCGGAAATAGCCGCCATGATAGAATATGGCCGAATACTTGGTGACCAAATGGGCGCCGTAGAATGAGAGCAGCTGCTCCAGCACCTGCTTTTCGGCCGACGCGGGCAGGCTGTTCACAAACTTGTAGAAAACGTAGTAAATGGTGCGCTGAAATGGGAAACATATCAAGTCAGAGTATGCTCAACCAACAGAGGACTCGCAGTCACCTCGCCATAGATGATGGACAGTTTCTGGGCGGCAAACACCTGAATGTTGTTGCGTGTCTCAAAGGCGTCCTTGCCCTCGCGCTGCAGCTGCTCGGCACGCTTGACAGTGGTCTCCAGCTGCCAGGCGGTGAGCCAGTTAAGGGCCTTCAGGAGATCTAAAAAGATGATAGATTATTTCACAAATCTAAATGATTTCAAATCATCCACGACTCACTGTTTGCATCCAATGCCTGTGCAGGTGTGCGTTCCTCTGCCTTGCTCTGCAGAATCCCATTGATGTCGCTCAGGAAGGACACCGTTTCCAGTGGCGATACAGCCACAAAATCAGCATTGCCGCGACGTAGACTAATCAGCCAATTAGAGGCCTGCTGGATGAGCGTATTGTTCTCGCCCTCGTATGTGCAGTTGGCATCATTGTCGTTCCTCAGATCACCCAGACCAGCGGACTTCAGATAACCATGTCCGCCGCAGGCCTCGCGGCACTCCTGAATGCCATCGCGAGCAGCCCAAGTGGCCACCGGCTTGAGAGCCGACGATATGGCATGGATTTCCATGCCCGCCTTGGAGGTATCCTCCCCAGTGAAGCCCTTCATTGTCATGTCCACGTTCTCCTTGCCAATCCACAGCGTGGCCACACGCAATGCAATTGTGGTGGCCAAATGGGGAATGAGACGATACTGTTGCGACTGATACTCAATCACGGGCCACTCCGTCTGGCTGCTGTTGGGTCCGAACTGCCGGCGGCTCGCACTATAACGTGTGGCTATGGACACGGCCTTGCTGAGCGCCACATACGTGATGGCTGTGATGTTGACGCGTCCCTGGGAGAGGGCGCCCAGCGAGGCACCCAGTCGCTTGCGCTCATCCTTGATGGGACTGTTGTAGTTTCCCTGGGCATCGATGTCGCCAGTCTTGGACAGCAAATTGGCCTTGGGAATGCGATACTGATTAAAGCTCACAAAGCTGCAAGAAGTATCATTATAATCCATATATAAAAACTCTTTTTGGTGGCACCTACCCATTGTCAATGCCATTCAGGCCAATCTTCTCACCCATATCGCCCACCGTGACGCCCGGGAAGGGCAAAAGCGTGCGCTCATCGCGAATGGGCACCAGGAAGGCCTGCAAACCTTGATGCTTGTCATCGGGAACAAACAGCTGTGCATAGACAATTGCATGGGTGCAGGTCTTGCCCAGATTTCCCACCCAGCACTTGGATGCCTCGAAATCCGGTGTGTGGATGATAAATTCCTTGGTCTTCAGATCATAAGTGGCACGGGTGCGCATGCCCAGCGCATTGGTGCCGTGCGAGAACTCTGTAAGAGCGTAGGCGCCCAGAATCTTATTATCAGAGATCTTGGCAATGTACTTTCCCAAGCGGCCAGACCCGTTGGACACCAGAGTGCTGGGGAACATGCCATTCGAGAGGCCAAACTTCACAGAGGTGCTAAAGTCGTAGCTAAAGATGGCCTGGCCAAAGGCCAGAAGCAGATGAGGTGTACCCAAATACTAAAGGGGATTAGAACATTATTTTAAATGTAACTGGCTAGCTATGACGTGTCTGCTTACCTCATTCACACCAAAGAAATGCTGCTCCCAGAGCAAATGCTGCCGCTTGTTGGCCAACTCGCGAGTTCGCTCCAATGTGGCCACCTCCGGCTCCCGCTGGTAGTCTGGGTGCTGCTCCATCCATTGCCATACCTTGTGCTGTGTAGAAAGCGGGGGATTGTAAGTTCGCTTAGTCAATGAACCAGATAAGAACGCTTCGGGGTAAGATTAGATGGTGGGTGTAGTGCACTTTCCCCGCAGATAACACCAAAGACGGCCACAAAGCCAGCGACAGAGACATTGTACTTTGTACCGCACCACAGTAGCCGATCGATCGGCTGCTCTACATTTAATGTTAGGCTATTAAAATTTAATTAATGTTGGTTGTTACCTTCAGTCGAATGTGCTCTTCGCCCTCTAGGAGCACATTCATCCGCTTGTAACAGAAGCTCGCCTTCTGACGATAAGCGTCCAGTGGGCCGCTGCGGAACTCCGGAAAGATCTTCTTGTCGTCAAAGAGATTCCCCGCCTGCTGGCCATTATCCTCACCACTGTAATAGTCCGATAATGAAGTTAAAATCTCGTTTATTTGATTGTCGGCTGATTTTTTGTCGTCTTCGGCGCTGGCCATTGCAATTGTTGAATGTATCGGGTATCGACATCGGCGGGTGTAATAAAAGTACTCACTTGATTGCAACCATGTCTCTATCGCTATCGCTATCTCTGTCTCTGTTTGGGTTCCTTTTGCGGTGGATGTGCTAACGGTCACGGTTTTGCTCGAACTGTTTAAAAATTAACAATTGCCGAACTATTATTGGGAAAAAGGTCGAAGAAGGAAAGTGGTCACCGATAAGATTTAACAAGCTTATCCGCCACTCATGGCCAGCCGGTCGTGCTGTGCTGCCGCGCAATGAACTACCTCTTCAAGGTGTGCATATGCCTTGGATAGGATAAGATAAGAGCGCCCAAAACATGGTTAGCGGCCCAAATTCCACATTGTTGCTTGTCCACTTCTCCATGTTTGGGGCTCTGCGCAGCTGGTTGTTAGTTTATTTTTACAAAATCAATCTCATAAATTAAAATTGATATCAGAACAAAGAGAAAAGAGTGAGAGCACAGGCAGATATCGATAATTGTTGTTTCAGTGTTGCATTACCTAGACGGCAAGGGCGCGTGTTTCAATTTTTACTTCTTACTAAGCAGGGGTACTTTTCTCTTCGTTTTGTCCCAACTGATATATTTGACTTAAATCAAATTATGTTAGATATATTATTGAGGAAACTCTTGTGAAGTTTTGTTTGATAATCTTAGCTAATCAAAAATATGTGTTTCTTCATTCATTTATATTGCAAGTGTATCTGTATTACGCGTCACAATTTTGCTGTTACTTGAATAATATTGTATTCTATTTATTGTATAAATATACTATTTCTCAAGAAAAACACTTCTAAGGTTCGGTGGGTATATTTTCAACATTTTGCTGGGCTGTTTTAGTAAGCATTTCCTGAAGCAATTATATTTTTCATATCCGTTCCATTATCCATACGTCCCTCTTCATTTTTAAATGTTCCACAAATAGAAACTGCAATCATCCAAATTCACTTTCTGATTCCTTTCTTATACGAGTAATAACTCAAGTTGGCAAATTTGCCAACTCTGCGCAAAACTTACCACTCACACTAAATTTAGAACTGGGCAACCACCACCTCCCTGTTTAATAGAATATTTTTTCATTACCTGTTCAACTTCAGCTGTTTGTTTTCCCAGCGTTTTGTCGCAGATGGAAATGACAGTCGCTTGATGGATGCACTTTTAATTGATCTAATCGCTTTTTATTTGATGCAATAATTAATACTAATACTACTTACACTTAGTTAACATGCAATGCGCGCTCTATCGGTCTTGCGTACTTGGCTTTTTATCTTTCCTCAATCAATTTCTGTTTTGTTATTTGTTGCTGGTTTACGTTTAGTGATTATCATTTTTCTTTAGTCATAAATATAGATTTCGTTACATGGTTTTTTTGTTGTTGCAAAGTTGGAGCACAAACTCAATTGTATGTGTTGTATATTGTATTTGTTGTACTTAAGTTCTGCTTGTGTTGTGTGTTTATTGTATTGTTTATTAAAATCATTTTTGAAATCCTCTAAACGGCACAATTTTGACGATTTTGGCTCCCCCACAAATAATTAAACTATTTAGGTAACACGTAGTCGTTAGTCATTGATTAGATTGTTTTGTTTTTTGTAAATCTCATAATTTCTGTTGCATTTGATATAAAAAGCATTATAAAATGCAGCCTGCAGCTACCGGCTGCCCCCTACCGCAATAATATTATATTTACGTAAACTCTAAGTTTAAATTTCGCAGTTAAGCTGCTAATTATAATATAATATACGTAATATATATACTTGCTAAAACATATACTAATTGACGAATTGGGTGTTTGTTAGTGTTGCCAATGAAATGAATGTTGTGTGTGGCTTTGTGTGTGATCTTTTAAAATTTCCAATCCTCCTTCTCGGATTACAACCGTACGTATGAGAGTCACAGAATTTCTTCAGCAGCTTTTTTTGTTGGCCTTATGCTTATCAAAGTTTTAAGTTATATTCGTGATTATATTAGATAGAATCGTACTTGCGGGGACATCAAGGAAACAGGCTACAAAAATGTGTTGTGCTAAATATAATTTAAAATGAGAAGGTACGTGTGAGACGCTTCTTACGCGTCACAACTTTTATACCCGGCACTCAGTACTACATCTGCACCTTAGCACCAATTTTACATTTGTTCTTCATCTGTCACCTACATCAACAACACTACTCACATACTCACACCAACACGCTCCTTAAGCTCGCCACCCTTTCCTAGAGCCGCACACTGCAGTCTGGGCAGAGACGCGGCAGAGGCAGAGACGTGTCTGCGCGAAGCAGAGTGTGAATGAGAGAATGTGCAGCTCTAGATATGGTCATTCCCTACGGAATGTCGTTTTTAGTTTTCTTTTATCTTCAAAACTATAAGTTTGGGAGGTTTTCGCCCTTTTGCGGGGGGGGCGGAAGGGGGCGGGGCCAATTTTTTAAATACACTGGTTTCAGTGTGAGCATACAGCAGTCTGGAGAAAAATTTGGTGGCTCTAGCTCTTATAGTCCCTGAGAACTAGCAGACAAACAAGACGGACGGACGGGCAGACGGACAGACAGACATGGCTCAATCGACTCGGCTATTGATGCTGATCAAGAATATATATACTTTATGGGGTCGGAAACGTTTCCTTCTCTGCGTTGCGTACAACCGTTATTCTCCACAAATAATATATACCCCATTTACTCCTCGAGTACCGGGTATAAAGAACCGAAACTAAACATTTTGGTAAATTAACTAATGGTTAAATATGAACTAAACTATAGTAGAGATTGCAGCAGGTGTGGTGTGGTGTCCGTTAAAAAAATATATCCGGTGTGTCGTACAGATTGAGGCTCTTCTCCATTAGCGTTCCTGACAGCAGGTCCGCCGCCTCCATGGGCACCTCGAGCGGCGACGGTCGTGCAGCACCTGCAGCATCAGAAACACCAGCAGCACCCCTAGCTGTTGTGCCCCGTCCACCCTCACCATACGTCTCATATCATCGACTCTGCACCGAGCTGGCCGCCGACGAGTTGGAGGAAAATGCCGACTGCAGGCTGGTCATCGAGCCCTTGTAGTTGACAGAGCTGAGCACCTCATAGAAGAGGTTCAGTTGGGCACCCGACGGACTGAACCAGTGCATTAGATAGCTATCATTGTGGTGCATCACATGCGAGCCCTGCACACTCTCCTTGTGCCGACAGACGAGCGTTGGCTCCTCCCGGAAGTAGTTGACACCCTCGACAAAGTCCTGCAGATCAAAGTAGGAAACAGCATCATCTGTGGGAAAGAAAATTACAATGTTAACTCGTTCAAGGGGGGAAGAACTAAGGTGTCTGTCTCTTACCATTTTTCTGTGGCAGCTCTTGGGTGACTCGATACAACGTAAAGTGCAAATCGTTGCGCATCACATCAAAGTCCCACGTGAGCACACTCTTGGGATCCTCGTTACGGATGAGCAGCTCGTGGCTAAAGCCCGCCTTTAGATCCACACTCTTGTACAGATTCTGATGGTCATGCTGATGGGCTGCCGATAAACGCTTCATAGGTGCCACAGCCACTGGAGCCAATGCCGAGCCACTGGCAGGCGAAACAATTGTCACATCATCATCATGATCCTCCAGGGAATTCATCTTGTAGAGCGTCTTTGGCACCAGTCCACCCTCGTGTATCATGGTCTGGGGATACAAATTTGAAATGTTTAACTTATGCAAGTTTATGGAAGCTGAAGTAAAGATCTAACTTTGGCTAGAAGTAAGCGTAAAACAGACACACAGGAGACACGGACATGAGGACATGGCTTGTGGCGGATGTCAATGCTAAGCAGCAGCGGAGCGGCAGCGGCGGCGCATTTATGGACTTGACACAAAAAAAACACAACAAAGACGACAAAAGGAAAGACCAACACACAAAGAGGAGTGTAAAACAGAACGATGGACAAAAGGCATAAACTGTGTGTGTGAGTGTGGGGGACATGAGACATGACATCGCAAAGAGAGAGCGCAACGAGAAAGAGTAATTGTTGTAGGGAGCTGCTTACACAATCGCATTTGGATAAATAACAATGCGTAAAATATTTCTGACTGACTTGCTCCACATGCGACACAGGCTGCAGTTTACCCGCAGAGCCGCAAAAGAGGCAATAAAATGTTGAACAAATCAAATATAAAATGGAATCAAAAATACTTTCATACATATGTATGTATGTATCTACAACTGCCATCCGATAAAAACTGACTGCAAACTACTACAAATCGAGTCGAATGAGGATGGATCCTCTACACTCACCTTGCAGGGTCCACCCAGAAAATCTGGCACTATCTCCTCGTCAATGTACTGGGCCAGACCGTCCGTCATGTGTGCACAATCGGGGCCATAGAACAGGAACTTTGAGCGTGTGTGTTCATCTGTAGAGCAGGAAACGATTAAAAGTCATTGACACTGGCAGAGGAAGAGAAACCCCTCGCCACTCACCAATAAATGCGCTCACAATGGTCCAGGCAATAGGAAACACTCGAGGCGCTCGCACCACCAGCACTCGGCCCATGGTTTCTGGATAATTACGCTCCACGGTCTCGATGATGTACAGCAAAGCCTTGATACCGGGACGCCACAGATGGCGCATGGACAGACCCTCCAGATCCACCAGCAGCGACCAATTCAAGACAGGCTTATCTAAGCGCTCGGCAGATTCATTGATCTTCTGTATGCCCTCCTCGCAAATGTGTAGGGCCTATTAGAGGAGATATTTACAGGGGTTCCAAAGTTTAATTCGGATACCAAACATACCAATTTTAGTAGCCCCTCCATGCCCAGACTCTTGAGCAAACCCTTGACATCCATGTGACCCAGACGCAGTATATAGATGGGTCTACCATCCTTGTCTTGATGATGCCAACCGCCTGGGAAGTGCTCCACCACCACCGCTGGCTTGGTGTACTCCTCGAGGAGAGCATCAATGCGATGCTCCTTGCGCCATTGCAGCGAATCGCGGAGCATGGCAAAGGCCTGGCTCACGTGCCAGTCTCTGGCTGACAAGAAACGCAGGATGGTCTGATAACTGGGCACACGCTCCAGATCATCGACACCATCGAGCATTTTTCGCAGCTCCAGCAGCTTGGACTCTTGCATCGGTGACAGTTGGCCCAAATTGCGGGCTATAAAATCGCCATCCAGCAGAATATCGTGATGTTGATGCTGTTCCTTTTCGGGTGTGGGTGACTTGGGGGCATCGAGTGGCGGCACCCAACGCTCCACATGTGTGATGCCCTCCTCCTCCAGCTGACTGATGAAAAACTCAATAATCTCTTTGCCCTTGAGCGTTGTCTGTGTGTACTGCTTCATGCCCATCTTCTCCATGGAATGCTCAAAGCCAAAAAAGTTCTTAATGTCCAGCGTGGCAGTCTGATCGAAGCACGTCCATTCGGCATTGTCCGGATGGGCGTAGTAGCGACACCGCTCGAAGATTTCGATGCGCGAGGAGAAGCTCTCGTTGACGGCCTCGATGCTCAGCGTGCGGGCGCTCATATCCAGATAGTTGTGCTGCAGAAAGTACACAAAATCCACGCCAATCAGCTTCTTGAATATGTAGGGCGCATCCACAGCCAGCTTGCAGCGACGGCTAGTGTTCCGCTTTGCCCCATTCTCCAGCGATTCATCCTTGATGATATCGCAGTCGAGGACGATGGGCATCTGTGGGCATTTGGGAAAGCGTCGCTCATAAGCCTGCAAAAAAAGAGAGTGTGGATTGAGAAATGAGATTTGGATGGGTGTTTATGAAACCATTCGAGATTTTTTTAGACTTAGGGCAGGGATGGCTGCCCTATGGTTAAGGGCACAATGCCAATCGGCCTTGAACGTTGGCCAATTTATGAACATGAACTTGGCTAGGACTTTGGTCTCTGCTCCCCAGCCGCGACTCTTTCTCTTTGATACAAAACATTTGCTAAATATTTGCCAACAATTTCTACACTCACAATAAATGCTATTTTTGGTATACTCCTCGGGTTGCGGGTTTTTGCTCAATATTTTCAATTAAATTTCGGTTGAAAACGTTCATAATTTCATGCTTAATGCTTGCCATGTTTGAGCAGGTTTTACACATGCTTTAAACTATTTTTAGTTGCTCCAATTAGCGGTAGAGCATCTGTGGTTCGTGCTGCTTTTGGCCTAGTTTTCTTTATGACCCTCCTTCCGCCCCAATCAAATGAGAGCTTCTTCAGCTTTATCTCTTCGGGTGGCATAAACAAATGAGCAAACTACGCCGCACTCAACACACGGCCATCTATGGGCTACACTGGTCAAAAAAAGAGGCGACTAGTGGGACTATAAAGTGTGCGTTAGTACCAGATTTTATGATTCTAGTTAATAACGAGAGGGGACGTGTGAGACGCTTATTACGCGTCACATTCGCAGTTCGAAAAAATCTGTTTTATCTGCAAATCTATTAATGATTTTTTCCCAAACTGATTTTTAATAGAAAGTATAGATATATTACTCAATCTGCCTAAATCTGGGAATGTTTTCTTAACGTTGAAAAATGCTATCCAATTTTTGCTCTGCCAATCTTCTCTCCACTGGAATTCTCATTAGATCATTTTCTTCTTTGAAAAGCCAAAATAGAGTGCTTATTGCACAAACAAAAAATTATCTGTGTACAAACTGTACCACAAAGATTCCTTTGTGTTTGTTTTTCCCCCTACCCTCTGTGCAATTTATAATAATTACCTAAAAAGCGCTGCTGTTAATTCACACACGGAATGCCATGCCAGAAGTTCCATTCCCCAACACAAATTCCCTAATAAAAGTTTACAAATTATGCAGAACAGAGGAACTTCCAGGCAAACAATTGTGGAAGCAAGAGGCGCCACAGTGCTCAGGACGGACATGGCTTGGCCCATACCCCACCATCAAGGCCATCTCTCCATGGTCGCGTGTCCTTTAAGATGCACTCGAAGGCTGACATTTTCCTCCGACTAGCAACGTTCGTAATTAAGCCGAACTTGTTTAATAATTAAAAAGTTCAAGGCAGATTGTGTGTCGCCACGGGACTGTGTGTCCGTGTCCGGCTCGGTAGGCTGTCTGGGAAAAAGCGAGGCCAGGACAACTTGTTATGTTCCGTTGGGCCCCCATCGATTGCTAAATTATTTAACTGTTGAAAACGTGTGAACAACCACATGAGCAATGATTTACGACCTCTGCATGGGGGCCTAAAGGACTCGGGACAGATTTACGGCCAGAACAAACGAGAAAGCCCAAGCAACAATCCGGCGATCCCTTTCTCTTCCCCCACACACAGTCGCAATCCCTTTTATTAGGCTGCCAACGGATGGATTAGTTGTCCTTGTTCCTGTGGAGTCATGGCATATGCTAATTGGCCATTAAAAACTTTGTCGGTTCGTTGCTCGACGTTTACACTGACTCAAAAAGCAGAGGGACAAGGTAGATGGCAGTGGGGAGTCAGTGGCACACGGGTTCTGCTTTTGTTTTCGCTTTTTTCAGCGGCTCCTATACTATATATAGAAAGTGTGCAAATTTACTTGGCACATGTGACGTAGTATCTATCATCAGGCGTATACGTATTTTAACTTCTCTCTCTTCTCCCTCACTGCCCCCGAGACACGACCCTACACGACTCGAAGCGACTCTCGAGAGCGTGTCGGTGGTGTCGTCGCTCTGAGCCAAATGTAAATTGATGATGACCTTGATCTACCGGCATACACAAATGCATTTCAGCCAAATGACTATTACGTCAATAATGAAATATTATAAAATACTTTTTGCGAGTTTATGGAAGTTGCAATGATAGGAGAAATCTTCGTAAACAAATAAGTAGTTGTTATAACTTATAAGTGTTTGCACTCATTTCTAGGATACACAACTATAAATAGAGGAATATGGATTGTTCCATTCAGAGCAATAAATCTTTAGATCTATACAATTTTAGATAATCGTATGACAAAATGTATGTATGTATACCAATTAATTGAGAAATTTTCTAAAATAAAGGGATTGTCAATGATACATTTTTAGCTCCTGCCCAGTACCGATTCTTTTGCACCTAAACCCTCTCGTGGATGGGTGCAAAAGTTTAAACAGCTTTTCTTGACATTTAATATTATAATGCCGAATCAGCTTTGACACTTGATATTTATTTATTTTGAAAGTTCTGCTGGGGCCTGGGGTGTGGAGCTCAAGTGAAAAGATATCCAATGTCTAGCCTTGGTATTGCCTCGTACCAGTTACCAAAGAGTTACACTGTTTATTACGTTCATTGCGCCACCAAACATTAGTTGATTGTACAATTTAAACAATAATTTAACTCATATCATGAATTGGTGCAATCCCCAGTGTGCAAAAAAAACTGTCCAATCAGACACATACCCCGAACTGCCTCACACAAACACAGACAGGGACTGGAGGCACTTTCATACATTTCATCAAAACGTGACCACTCGTTCTATAGGTGATAGATGGGACAGGCAGATAGTTAGATAGTATAATGCGATTATTTACTGTTAAGCCAATTAGTTTTTTCCTTACTCGAGAGGCAAATGGTATACAGTGGCAAGCCATTTATCTATGTTTCGAGTCAATGACATTATGTTCTGGACTTTTGGACTTCTATAGCAACTGCAGAGAGCAAAAAATAATTTTATTTTTTTTTAATAAATACTGATAGTAAAATAGTTTCGCCAGCTGTGATGCAGAGAGTCTTAATTAAATGGTGTGGGGCTTTTCCTCTGATAAGTTCTAGATAATACACACTATAAGGAAAATGCGTCATTAAATATTCGGGGTTCGGCAGTGGTTTGCGTGGGATTTTATCAGAAAAAATATGTCTATGGAATATAAGGCAATTTGATTGAATGTTTATAGACGCATATTAGTACAGTCTACACTCAATAATTTGACTTGGGAGCTTGTAAAAGCCAAACGAAGTCAAGTACCTTAAAAGGCGGGTATCCAGCACCGCGAAAAAAATTTTCCTGCCCCGGAATAATTGCCAACCATATATTTCGTGTACCAGTCTATGTACCAGCTGTTCTCTCAGTCCAAACACTCATTTCGTATCGATATATCGACAAGAATCTGTGGATTTCGTTAACGTTGCTGGATACTCAACAAACGAAAAGTTTCCGGTTTAGTTTTTTATACCCGGTAATCGAAGAATGTGCGTTTTATTTGTGCACAAAAAACCGCTAAGGTACAGATGTGGTACTGAGTACCGGGAAGAAGCGTTTCACACGCCCTTTCTCGTTTTTATATTGAGTTTGGCACGAATTTTTTTTTTTTTCGGTGCTGAATACCCGCCTGAAGAATCAAATATTAAGCTTGAAAAAATAATTGGTCGAACACTATTTGACCCTAAAACTGCTGTAAATAGGCCCTACTGAGGGCCCACTGTACCACTGCTGTATATGACAGGCAGTACTGTTATCAGTTGTATAACCGACACACTAACACACACCCAACACACGCATTTACTACATAGCTATATAGCTTTTTTTTTGCTTTTAGTGTAGCAATGGGCCATAATCGCTTATTTCCTGTCTCAATTGTCAGTTTTGTCTCGTTGTGTGAGAGACGAAAAGACGGATCTTGCGAATGCAAAACACGAATATGAGCCTCTGGACACCCCCTTTCTATCTCTATCTTCTCATTCAATGGGACAGTGGCTTCCACTACTAACATTTTGCTCTCTGAGAGGTTATTTGTATTTTTTTCAATTTCTTGTTACGAATATAAGAAAGTGCCAGAAGTATCCGCTAAAACTGTGCATAGAAGGTGCAACTTTCCTGAACATGCAATATAAGTATGGTTAAATGTGATTCCTCAAATAATTGTTACATTTATGGGAACAAATGATATGGTTAGGGTATCAGAAGCTGCGACCTTCCAAGCTATCCGTCGTCTCCGCCTCGCACTCATCCTCCAGCATCTCACCCTTCCCCGCCTCACTCATCTTTTGTTATGAGAGCGATTTCCCATTCATGAAACTACAACGGACAGAGAGCCAAATCAGAGATAGAGCGAGGTGGCTAGAAGTAGAGCGACTCTCTCTCTCTCTCCGTCTCGATGTGCAAGAGAGGGGGAAATTATGGCTCTCCAAGGTTAATTTTATTTATCTTCTGCATTGGTGCGAAAATTAAGGGAAATCCGAGTGCAAGAAGATTGCGCTTCCGAATGAAAATCAATCAACAGCTGCTGTTCGCATACTTGAGAGTGTTCTAACCAGCATTATTCACGAGAAATATAAATAAAACAAACATGTCTATAGAGTGGAGCAGAGCAGCGACCGCGGTGAGGGCGGAGGCGGAGGAGAAAAAGAAACACGGAAGAGACACGCCTACACGCCTGGTGTTAGTACTGGTTCTGGCTTGCTGCAAATAAGATACACACCTTCATCACCAGCTCAAAGGGATGTTTGTAGACCCGAACGGGGGACTGAAATTTCTGCACCATCTTGTTGTTCTTGTGGTCTCAATTTACACTTGACACTGGTTAAAAATCAATTTTCACTTATTGCACTTTTTCGTATTCGTATTCCGTGTTTTTTGTCGTGGGTGGATGGATATGGATATCGCCTCGGTTTGCGAGTTAGTTTTACTTTCTCATGACACTTCTAAATAATTATTCACAGATCTATTTGAACACTGCTTAATCCATTCTCTGGGTTGCTTGTGTTGTTGTTGATGTGTTCTTATGCACACACACAGGCCCAACGTGTGTTTGGATAGTTGTTGGTATATTCTACTTTTGGTTTCACTCCAAACGGTCTGCAGATGATGCACACCAAATGCAGACCAGTTGAATTTTGGAAGATTTGACGTTTCAAGCTGCAAAAATATGTGAGAAAAGTAAGGTGTCGACGCCATGTAAAGACGTCACAAAAAATTTCAGGGTTGCAAGGGATATTTCACCTGGCGATTTTAATACTCCATGATTAGTTTGTTTTTAATCGGTAAAATTTCAACCAATAAAATTGAGAAAAAGAAAAGTATCGATAAATAACCTATCGAGAAAATACTGTTATTTATTTGAAAAACAAAACCATTATTGTATTGGTTCTCATTTATTAGTAGACATCCAGTCCTGTACAACATCCATATTCATCCAAGAGATGGATGGAATCCCATTCAGCCTGACGCATATTCATAGTGGAATACTGGATGGGGTTCGGAAAATCTCTAAGGATTAATATTCTCGAGGTATTCCGGATTATTAACAGAAATCATCATGACATCATGTCACACACGTTGGCCTCTATTCAAGTTTTCAGCTGGGTGCTGAGCATGATGGTCCCCAGAGACTAGCACCTAATCAACATTAGCATTTAAGTTAAGTTAGTTATTTCTTCTAATTTACATTATATTCCCATATATTCCAAATAGTTAATAAATTTTTCTGACTTTTTACGCGTTTTCATCTTTCAACTAATGAGAAAATTCAAAATTTGCGAAAAATTTCATCTTGCTCTATTTTTTTTGAAGAAAAGGTGGGGTTCGTTTCAAATATCGAGAACAATATCGATATCGAGAAATGTTCTCTTCTCTCTCCTCATTTTTGCGTTTCAATATGAGCACATAAATCCCACAGAAATATACCAAAAACGTGGAAGGACGTATGAGACGCTTCTTACGCGTCACAACTCTTATGCCCGGTACTCAGTACAACAACTGTTGTACCTTAGCGGTTTTTATCAAATTTTGTTCTTCATCTTTATCCACATCTACAACACATCTCACACCAACACGCTTATTTAGCTCGCCACCCTCCCATAGAGCCGCACACTACAGAGTCACAGCAGAAGCAGAGACCGCATACTGTAGAAGCAGAGTGTGAATGAGAGAATGTGAAAAAAAAACAAATAAAAGAAAATTGCTTCATTCTGGCTATAATAATGATCCAATCGGATCCCAATTTAGTGAACTGATAGATATGGTCATTCCCTGCGGAATGGCGTTTTTAGTTTTCTTTCAACTTCAAAACTATAGGTTTGGGAGGTTTTCGCCTTTTTGCGGGGGTGGAAGAGGGCGGGGCTAATTTTTTAAATACATTTGTTTCAGTGTGAGCATACAGCAGTCTGGATGCAAAATTTGGTGGCTCTAGCTCTTATAGTCTCTGAGAACTAGCCCACATGGCTCAATCGACTCGGCTATTGATGCTGATCAAGAAAATATATACTTTATGGGGTTGGAAACGTTTCCTTCTGTGCGTTACTTACAAGCGTTATTCCCCACAAATACAATATACCCTACTTACTCTTCGAGTACCGGGTTTTAAGAGGTTTTAAGAGCTAACATTTAAAGCGCACATGAAGTCAAGAACAGAACCGACGACGAGAACAGCAATTGGAAATACATACATATGTACATTTATATGATATATGTTGTGAGAAAATTTAAGGTGTCGACGCCATGTAAAGACGTCACAAAAAATGTCAGAGCTGCGGGATATTTCACCTTGCGATTTTAATACTCCGTAATACATTTTTTTGAAAATTAGCGGTACAATTTCAACCAAAAAAATTGATAAAGAGAAAACAGTCGATAAATTACCTATCGAGAAAATACTGATAGTTATTTGAAATTTAAAACCATATTGGATTGAACCATTGATTCTCATTTATTAAGAGACATCCCGTCCTGTGCGACTTCCATCATTTGAGGGACAGAATGTGGCAAAATTACCTCCATTGGGATTTGCCTTCACGTCCACATATACTCGCACGCATTGGGACAATTTGGAGCAGGAGATTCCAACCATTGAGGAGGTCAATCCACCAATCATTAACAGTTGCTGAGTTGTTGTTTAGTTGTTGATTTAAGATTCTTTCCTGTTTGATTTTAGTCCACCAGATACTTCATATCGAAATAAAATACTTTAAATAGCTCTCCAACCTTTTTTGCGAAAGAAAGGACTAGGTTAGCAGTTTTCTCTCTCTACTCATTTTTTCGTTTCACATCGATAGCATCATGGATATTATCCGAATTTTTCCTACTCAATGGTTGAAACTATCGACGGTGGCCACTATCGATGTTTTCCCAACCCTAGAAGCAGCGACGACAGAAGTGCAATCGATTGTTGGCTGCCATCCCTAGAATGGATTTTCGTGAAATAAATAAATTGAATTGGCGTTTAAATCTGAATAACAACAACAGCCTTGTCGAGTACAGCAGTGCGGTGAACAAGTACCCGACTTCCGATGTGCCGGACGAGCCTCCAAAACTACTCAGACAAATCGATTGTGCGACCGGGGCGACAATGGGCACGAAACAAAAACAGGCACCCACAACACCAGCCTCAGCCTCTGCCATAGGCGTCGAAGACGAGGGGTGCGGCGGTGGTGGTGGTGTCGCCGTGGGGACAGGTACTGGGACTGGAGACTGCGCTGCAGCAACAGCAGTAGCTGCTCTTCAAACAGAGGGCAGCGGCGTGGTCGGTGATAAGGCAAGTGCACTCTCGCTCACACTCCGTCGTGTATATGCAATTTTCAGTGATTTCTTACCCTCCCCTCTTCACAAACACACACGCATACAGATTGGAGGCGCGGCAGCCTACTGCGCCTTGGATCTGGATGTGACCGGCTATGGAATGGCAGCTGCCGCGGCTGCCTTATCGCCCACCGATGCGGCATTTGGCGGAGGCGGAGGCGGCGGCCTCAGCTCCAGCCGCACCTCAATGAACAACTCCACGGAGAACCTGAGCTACGCCAGTGACAACTTTTACGGCGACGATCTCATCCTGCTCGACGACGACGATGTGGAGGCGGAGGAGATATCCCTCAATTCTGATGACTGTGTGTACGCGTATCGCGGCGACGGTGCCGATTTTGACCTCTCGCTGGATGCCGCCGCCTTGGGACGCGGCGGACGGCACCATCTTGACTTTGGGCTGCCCGTGGGTATGCCAGATCTGCTTGGGGCCGATGATGAGACCGAGTTTCTGGAAATGGACTTTGAACCGGATCCCTCCTCCGAGCTGGAGTTTGCCAGCGGTGCCCAGGAGCTCGGCGGCCTGTCGCAGGCCAATCTGCTGCTCATGCAGCGGGACTACAGCCAGATGAGCGGCATGGGCATGGTCACGCCCACGCAGGGCAGGCAGCTGTACAGCTCTCCCATCGACGATTTTCCCCAGGAGGATGCCCTGCAGCAGCAGAAGCAGCGTCTCAACAAGAAGTTTGCACGGATTAGCCTCAATCTGGATCAGATCAAGGACGGCACTGGTAATGGCGTGGACATGGAATTGGATGAATTGATTGGCGGGGCAGAGGAGGAGGGCGGTCATCCTCATGTGGGCGGACAGCTGGCAGACACGGCACTGGCCCAATCCCTGCCCAGCACACTATACACCGGCTCCAGCTTCAGTCGGAGCACCAGCGTGCCCAGCGATCATCCCGAACCGAAGCTGACGGGAGCCAAGCCCAAGCGACTGTCCAACTCCTCGTCGGTGATGTCCAAGAGCAGCTCGTCCTCGAAGTCGCGACGCTCCCAGCCGTCGGCCAGCTTCGATGAGCGCTGCTACAGTTGCACGGACTTCCGCGCGACTTCCGCCTCCTCCTGCCAGCAGCTGCCCCTGCAGGGCGCGGATACGGTGGCGCCCATGCTGGTGGCTGCTGCCGCCGTGGTGGCCATGGCCGCCTCATCCTCGTCCATGGCACACTTTGACTTGACGAGCAGCAACGAGGACAACTGCCTGGACTGCCTGGAGAAGGAGTTTCTGGCAAACACAATTGGCAAGGCCCTCGACATGAGCACGTGTCCCAAGTGCCGGCGTCGCGTGGGCAGCAACAGGGGCAGCAGTCTTTCGCTCTACACCCGGGCAGAGCAGACACGATGTCGCAGCGGTTCGCCAGGATACTTTGATGAGGCTGGTGGCCTGTTTGCCGGCTGGCACAGTGGTGCAGCTGGCGCCGGTCCCAGTCTGGGTCCCGCCTACAACCAAAGGTTTATTTCGTGTGATAATAATTTTGGCGGCGTGCAGGTGAGGCTGCTATAAGGGAATCCTTTATCCTTTATACGGATTGTTCCTAAAAATGCTTTTCTCGTTTTTGCAGCTGCTCAAGCAAAGCTTTTCGACTGAGCCGCTGGTGGCGCGTCTGTCCACAGGACAACTGTGCGACGAGGAGCATCTGGTGCAGGCGCTGGACAAGCTACACATTTCCTACGACAAACCCCTGCTGCACACATACTTTGAGCATCTATCCAAGCCAGTCAGCAGCGCTGGGAATCTGAAGCAGCTGTTGCTCCAAGCCTCTAAGCGGCAGTGCAACCACCGCAAGCTCAAGAAGCTGATCGAACTGGCCACCCAGCAGCAGCTTCATGTGCAATTTAAAAGGGTATGCGAAGCTGAAGAGCTAAGATGAAACCATTTAATATTTCTGCTCCCATTTGTGCTTAGACAAACGATGGGGAAACCCCGATGGCTTTGGTACCCGTAAAGGTGTCGGATATTTTGGATTCCTGGGCACGCCATCGAGATCTCTCTGTTTTGCGGCAATTGGATGCGCGTTTCCATCGAGCCAATGTGCTGGGTAAACATAAACAAGGGATGCGACTTGCCGACAGCTCCTGTTAACCTTTCTCTCTCTTGTGTAAACAGGAAAAGTTGGTCAAATTGTGCGCCAGGCAGCTGCAGCATCGTTTGCAGCAGCCGCTGCTGCCGCCACCTCAACCTCCACTTCGGCGACGCGGCGTGCCTTGCCCGAGCTGCTAATGATACCGCAGTATTATGATAGTGGAGAGCTGACATTAACGCGCAAATGTTAAGAGCAAGGACACGCACACTCATCCACACAGAAGAAGAGAACACCCACACACTAAAAACTGATAATGATAATTGTATGCTTAGCTGCGTTCTATGTTGTCCACTAATTGAGAAGAAACGAAATAACCCCCCCCCATGGAGAGAGAAGTAACTTGAGGCAGAGAATCCCTACCCCAACCCCTCCATGTTTAGTGTGTACTTAAAAAACAAAGAGAGATGCGGATGTAAACGCAACGTGTTACGTCTCACAATTTAATCGTTAATCGAGTTTTGCAATATCGAATATAGTTACAGTACCAGTACAAGTAACCCACGCCCTCGCCCTCGCCCATTATCTATGTATATGCCACCACACGCCCACTAAAACGTATATATATCACCCGTATACATATATACATAATATATACATACATATGCATACACACAAGACATCATTATGTATAACTCGTACATAGCTTAGCTTGTATACTGACAAACCAACAAGGAAACAAAAGAAATCTGAATAAACTCTAAGTAGGAAAGTTAAGTCTCAGACACACACCATCTCATCCAACAAAAAAAAAAAAGACAAGAGACAGTCAGAAACTCGTCCTGCTGCTGCTGCTAATGCTCCTGCTCCTGCTCGTGCTCTTGATCCCTCCTCCCTCGAGTCGACTCGACTCCACTCCACTCCGATTTGATGTGTAAAACGGTGAGATTGTTTTTGTTTTTAATAAAATTACGCTTTATTAATTATTAATGTTTAAACAGTACTTTCAAGCCACTTCCTCCACTCCCCCTCCCCATTGTTCTTTGTGTCTATTGGTATCGCTGCTGTGACTGTCGCCCGCCTGCATTGTAATAGCCACCGCCTGGTCCCCCCGGTGCACCCATATTCGGGGGCATTGGTGGTGGCGGTGCAACGGCGGCGTTATAATGCGTGGGCGGCGGCTGCTGAACGTTCCATGCTGCTGCGGCATACTGTGGCATAGGCACTACGGGTGGCGGAGGAGGCGGTGGCGCATGGTACATGTGATAGTTGCCCGGTCCTCCTCCTCCACCAGGCGGCGCTGGTGCCAGCGGCATTTGCTGCTGCACCAGGGGCAGCGCATCGTTGTTACTGTTATTCATGCTGCTGAGGGCGGAGGGAATGGCATTGGCAAGCGATTTGATGCTCTGTATGTTGTTGAGGTCCAAATGGTTGCCATTGCCACTGCTGCTGTTTATGGGTAGCGGAGGTGGTGGCTGCTGCTGGGCAGGTGCTCCGCCTCCTCCACTGGGATTCATAGGCTTCACAATTGTGGGACTGTCGGCGCGACTGGGTGGCTTCTGCGGCGGACTGTTGGGTAGCTGGGCCTCCTTCTGTGTGGACTGGTACAGATCCAACACCTGGTGGCATATATCCTCCAGTATCTCCATCGTCACATCCGACACGAACATGTCCCACCAGCGCTGATGATGCGGCTGCCGACCCTCCCAGTCCTGGACCGTAAATTTGCTCAGTTTGCTGGCCAGATGGATGAGCGCAACGGCTATAATCTCCGGCTCCCACTGAAGACAGACGACCGTGCTGAGGGAGTCGTTCACGAAGTTCCATGCCATTTGGACCATCTTCTGGAGCTTCTGCTGGTCGCCCTTGAAGCACTTCGCGTACTTCAGGAGAAACGTGTACGGATGCTCCACCTGCAGGTCGAACTTGATTGTCTGCAACAGTATTCGCTCCAGTGTCATTACCTCCTCCTTGGGATCGTCCCCGAACGAGGAGAAGTAGCTGTCGTTGAGGATGCCGCGGGCGGTTTTGATAATGTCTCGACACTTTTTTGGCGTCTCCTCCACCTTGCCGGCGAAGAAGAGGCAGCAGCAGGCGGTGACGTAGCGCGGAAAGCTGCGGAACGAGTGGAACATGTAGAAGCGATGGAAGTACACCACTCCGGTGGCCATCGTGCTGTGGCTAAGTCCCATCTTGGTGCCGCACTCCATGATGAAGCGGGCACCCTCCTTGCGGTAGCGTCGCTCATTTTCAAACGTGATCCCATCCAGAATCGACGGTGTCTCTCGCAGTTCCTTTTTGTCATAATACCAGCAAGGCATCGCTCTTTTCCGGCTCCTGGGATGGTGTGGTGGTGTGGTGCGGTGTGTGTTGCTTTCAGTGCTAGGGATGGTACTATGGCGCTCTACACGACTCGGGCATGGCAGGGCAACTTGTCTTGCACTTTACTCAAATTTACTACTTTCTAACTTAATAATTTTGATGTTATTTTTAACTAAACGTACAATTGTATTAATACGTGGAAAAATATTTCTCCCTTTTAATCTTTGGCTGGCAACCCTAGCGGCGAGTGTTGGTAAACTGTTCAAAGTGGCCTTGGACGATGTATGCAGACGGGCGCCGATACGTGTATCGTATTTAAAGTGAGGTAAGCGGGATTCAATTCTTTACATAATCATTCTCAATGGTATTAAGTATTAATAAATAATAAACGTATCTTGACAGTTTTTATTAGTTTCTGTACCTATAACTACTTTTTGTTTAAGATTCCCATTGCTTATAAGTTTGGCGGCAACTAATCGATAGTTGGATGCACTCTTCTATCGATACCTATTTCCTATTTCGTGGAGTTTGCGTTAATTAATTGTTTTGATGGCTTTTAACTATAGTTATCAACGCAATGGAGGTATCCGAGTGGTCAAATGCTTGTCATTGCAGCCCCTGCAATTGTTGCTATCACAAATTACACACGAACTTCAATGCAGTAGCGAAATCCGAGCTGCGCCCGTCGCCGGGCTGCGAGCGGCACTTGTTGCTGCTCTCGTCCATGACCATGCTTCGACAGCAATTAGCAGCGACTGCAGCGCCTTGGCATAGTTGAGGTACGAAGAAACTATTTATAACAAGCCTTTCCAGTTGTACGTGTACGTCTCACTGCAAATTGCTCTTCGGCAGACATCCAATAATGCGGTCAACAGAGCGCGGATCTGACTGCGACTCGTTTGTGCCTGCAGCCAGCTAACAGGAGTTTTGGCCATGTGCCGGACGCTGCAGCAACGACTCCCAACTGTAGTTGTTCCGCCCACTTTTGTCGCAGTGGGAAACATTTGTCTTCATTTTTGCATAACCACCAACGGCATGGCACGGCTTAAATTTGAATACAACTCTCGCTCGAGTGTTCCTTCAGGGAAAACGAGTTTCTATTTTCGACTTGAGGAAGTCTCTCAAGAGATGCCTGAGGGTGTGCGCTGCAGACAGATAAGGAGTCTGAGATTTATAGTTCCCTTTAGTTATGTACACATGCAAGTCGGATCGGCTGCAGCAGAAGCCAACAACAATGTTATTAACCTTGGCAAATCTGTGTATGTGTGTGCAGAGCTTCCTTTTGGTGGCTTCTTTTGGCCAAGAATTGTGCCGGGTCTGCAGAAGGCAGGCAGCCCAGCCTAACCAGTTTCTTTGTGTCTTTCATTCTTGACTCCGGCTTGGATCGCGCGCTAGTGCTGCTCTCCAGCTCCGCTCCCTGCTGCCTGCTGCCTGCTGCCACTCTCTCGCGGCGCTCGTTCGGATAGTTTCCAATGTTTAAGACACGTTTGCAGCTTCGTTGCGCTTTGTTCAGTCACTTTTTGAACGTCGCCACTGCCAGACCAACAAGCGGAGATCGCGCAGCGCTCTCTTTTGGCCAATACCCGGGGCTCCCAAGTTAACAGTTGTACACACACACACACACACACACACACACACACACACACACACACACACACACACGTACACGCGTACATGTACTGACATACCAAGCAACATCTCCAGCTTAATGCGCGTTCGCTTCGGGCTACGCTGCGGTCTTTTCCTCAAAGCAAAACAAAAAGTGGCTTTCAGTGTGCTATACTTTACTATATAGAAGAAAAAGTGCTTACCTAGGCAGAAATTATTTTTTCTTTTCAATAATAATACACTAAAAAAATCGAGTTAAATACAACAGCAACAAAATAGAGATAAATAGGCGTGCGGAAATAAGAAAAATGCCTTGCAAAAACGTATAACCAAAAGATCGTGCAACTATAGCGCTGCGCTCTCTCTCTCCCTCGCTCGCTCTCTCTTGATATCGGTCCAGCTCCAGTACCAGCACCAGTACCAGTTTCTCTGCCCATCTTTCTTTCTGTGTATCTTCTACCCATCTTCAATATATCTCTACTGCATGCATTCCTTGGAATCATTCTATGTGGATTATCTTCAGTCGACAATTGGAATATTTTTTACGTTATACCTCAGTCTATAACGCTAAATAAGTGAGTAAATTACAAGAATAACTATACATATATGGTTAAGGTATGGGATGATTCATTTTTGTTGGAATTTTATTGAAATATTAAACGATATCTCCAACGAGAAGCTTTTTCTAAGCTTAGATTATATCTTGTGATGATTCAGTATGTTTATTATTTTTGTGTGTTCCGAAATAAACAGTCGAACGGCTATGTCAAGGCCTTCGATAACATCCTTTGATGTTTCAGTTGGGTTTAGACTTTAAAATATGGCATATCAAAATAAAAGCACTTCTAACCCATAATTTATCTCCCCTGTGATTCAATTCGGTTAGAACTTGAGAAATCCTAAACGATATATGCAACAAAGCTGTGAAATATCATTTATCCCTAACATGAATCATACCTCCTCCCTATGATTCGGTGTGAGTTGAAGTCATATCTAAGCGTAAGATTATCTGATCTGTTAGCTCGTTTTTGTTTTTTAGTATACTGACTCTGACTATTTCTCTGCGCGATACAGCGGGTTTTTAACTTAAATATCTGTTCCTAAATGCAATTCAAATATAACTTTGAGCGTACAATATATCTGCAATAGATTACATCCAGGAACATTTCATTTCATCGTGAACTATTCTATAGGAAAAAATATAATAGAATCTGAAAATTTTAAAGGGTCTACTTTCTCTGCTCTGATGCTTTAGTCTGACTAAACTCTAGTACATTTCTCTTCATTACATTTTATGAGTGATCATCTCGGAAGTGCATTATTTCCGCATCTGATGATTTAGTTCGTTTTTTGAGTAAAATAGTTTCGTGCTTAGCCTTAGATATGAATATTGTTTGATGTGGTTGTTGCTTACTGTTTTGTGACTGTGATTTATCATCGTCGCCGTCGTCGTTGGGGGAGCCACAATTAAGTGCTAAGTGTATGACGATTAGATCATCCATGGGGAGCGTCAAACCGCTTAGCCAAGCTAATTCGAGTGTGTTGGCCCAGGCGTAAGCCAAGGCCATTAAGGCACATGGTGCGGTACTCTCTCCTTCTCTCTCTCTCTCTCTCTCTCTCTCTCTCTCTCTGTACCTGTTGCTCGATGCAACGATGCAGGCTAGAGCGAGAGTTGATTGAACCTGCCACAGCATCGAGGAGCAGCCATGTGGCATGCTGCAGCTGCTGTCGTTTGTGCTAACCAACAAAATTCAACGAAAAAGAGGCCTATTGCTACGCTACGCGTCATAATTATAGGTTTACCTGAAACCTTAAGCGGTTGTCTGTCTGGAGTTTTGGAATGTTTGAAAAATAATTGCAGAGAATCTTTAAATTTCCTTTATTTCATTTACATTGGAATCTTAATTAGTTGCTTATGTGATTATTTCTCACAGTGTAGTGCAGCCTGCATTAAAATGAAATCTCTTTTCGATCTTTGTCTCTGTTCATTTTTATTTCAAAGACAACAAGCAGTCAGAATTGCCGCCCTAAGCCCGACTTTCCCTTAAAATTACTCCACAATTACTGGGCTTATCATATGATTATTTCTCACAGTGTAGCAGTAGTGCGGCAGGGCCCATTCCATTGTATTTGTCTAAAACGCAAGCCATGTAAATGTTGTAGCCAGCCGTTGAGTTGTTGAGTTTTCTCACTTTTTTTTTCTATTTTTTTTTGCACAATATGTTAACTATTTTGATTGGCAATGCTGTAGACAACAGTGGTGGTGGTGCGTGGTGTGGTGTGTGTTGTGCATTGTTTTAGGATCTGTTGCATGTTGCAAATTGCAATTGCAATTGCAGCCGCAGCAGCAGCAGCAGTAGCAGCAGCACCAACCACCAACCGGCAGAGTCCCACGAAGCGTGAACAACTCCAAAGCGACTTCGAATGTGACGGTATGGGGACGGCGTTGAACTCAACCGAAATGGTTATGGCCGCATCAATATCTCTGCCGCTGCTGTTTCTCCTGTTTTTCCGTTTTCTGTTGTTGTTGCTGTTGCTGTTGCTGTTACCCCCCAAACATGTATTCTCTTCGTACATTACACATTCTTGGATGAATAGACCCACGGACCACGGAGACGTGCCCATAAATCACGCGTGTCTTGGCCATACTTTTCGACTTACTTTTGTGGTAGCACTTTAGGTCTGTCCACCACACACACATACACATACGCACACCCATCAAAGTGTCAGCTACCTCTCTATAGTGGTTTTGATGCCCATTAGAAGGGGTATGTGACGGGTTTAAAGTTTACCTGCATTTTGGAGGCAGCAGATATAATTACAAAAACATTATTTTAGAATTTATATTACAAGAATATTTTTGTTTGGCTGTGTTTTTTGTATATTTTCCTTTATTTTTCAGACTTTTTTCGAGACTTGTTTTTACTAATTGCAAGAACAGGGTATCCAATAGTAGGTTCTTTAAAGATCTGGTTCTTGTTTGGTGTTGCATTTCATGAGCATGTTTTCAAATTGATGGAAGTTGTTTTGGCCTTTTTCGGGCTTTCCAGTAAAGTACACCCGTCTTCAGTAGTGATCTTCACAATGGTTTATTAGCTAATCCTTTGGCTGCCACAATTGAATGTTGGTGGACGGGTCCGTTTGTTATGATAAATGGTGGCTCTTACAGCAGGTAGTTTTCTTTAATTTATTTGAACTTATTAACATTTAGTCTTTAATAAATAATTGTCACTCCAGGTGGTTAAATAATAATTAAATAATTATTAGATTAACTTTCCCATGTGACGAGTGATTTCCTTTTTAGTTTTGCTGTTTAAAACTCAACAGCTCTGGCCTCTAATTCATTTTAGCTTTAAGTCAAAGGTCTGCTTGCTTTCTACTTATCTATTTTTATACCGGGTACTCGAAGAGTAAATAGGGTATATTGTATTTGTGGGGAATAACGGCTGTATGTAACGCACAGAAGGAAACGTTTCCGACCCTATAGAGTATATATTTCTTGATCAGCATCAATAGACGAGTCGATAGAGTCTGTCTGTCCGTCTGTCCGTCTTGTTTGTCGGCTAGTTCTCAGAGACTATAAGAGCTAGAGCCACCAAATTTTGCCTCCAGACTGCTATATGCTCACACT